ATTCAAGTTTGGCCAAGAACATGTCAGGCAGAGGAGTGAATTCTGAGAGGCAATCTGCTACAGAGCCTGAGTCTCCCTGTGTGTTCTTGTTGGGTTTGCCAAGAACACAATTCTCTGGCTGCTCTTTCCCTGGTCCATTTCTCAGGGTTTTGTTTGCATCCTTGTGAGCAACCTTGAGGGGCGAGGTAATGTTTCCCCCTGGAAAAAGGGCAGGCTTGCTTCCACTTACTATAAATGTGGTAAACCTTCGTGTCCCTCTCCTGTAATGCAACCTATTGAGTGATGGGCCCTTTGCATCACTTCTGTGGGATTTGGGGGGAAAGGAAACTGACACAAATGAACACGAAACTCTGGCTATTGCTTCTGTAATGAGTGAGTAATAAAGTCCTTTGTTTCTGACCCAGGAATCTCATGCCTTTCATCAGCATCCACAAAACTGTGGCAGACTAACTTTTTAGCTTACAAGTTGGGTAAAATGTCAAACACTGCACAGTTTCTGATACTTTCTCCTCCCCATTTATTTTGAAGCAAATCTCAGATATCAAATATAAATATTTCAGCATGTATCTCTAAAATAATTCCTTAAAAAGAAAATATAACCACAATCCTATTGACACATCTGTAAATTTCAATACTAATTCCTTAGTACTATTGAATATCCAGTCACACCAATTTAATGGTGATTAATTCTCTGTTGGATATAATGCGGTGATAGGCAATGAAAATTTGAAAGCTATGAAGGGTAGTGAGTTTCCACTTGCTAAGACCATTCACGAAGTCAAGGTCAAGAAATTATTGCAGGTGTCATTAGCTCTCAGAAGTCTATTCACGGTACTATAATTGTTTTCTGTCAAAAGAAAATGCAACTCGCTACAGTGGCTTAAACTGACAATACCAATAGACTGATGAAACCAAATGTTGGTAAGGATGTGGAGTAATTGGAACTCTCAAACATCACTAGTGGAGTGTAAAATGATACAACCACTTTGTTAAACAGGCAGCTTCTTTTTTTTTTTTTTTAAGGTTTTATTTTTCCTTTTTCTCCCCAAAGCCTCCTGGTACATAGTTGTGTACTTTTAGTTGTGGGTCCTTCTAGTTGTGGAATGTGGGATGCCACCTCAGCATGGCTCGATGAGCAGTGCCATGTCCGCGCCCAGGATCCCAACCAGCAAAACCCTGGGCCACGGAAGTGGAACCCATGAACTTAACCACTCGGCCACGGGGCTGGCCCCCAGGCAGCTTTTAAAATAAAATTAAACATACATCTGTTTTACTACTGAACGATTTTACTCCTAGGAATTTATCCAAGAGAACTGAAATTCTATGTGCACAAAAAGACTTGTTTAAGAATTCTCATACCAGTCAATCATATCTCAATAAAGCCAAAAAAAAAGGAAAGAAAGAATGTTCATACCAGCTTTATTCATAATAGCTAAAAACTGGGAAAAAAACCCAATAGTAGAATGGGTAAACAAATTGTGGTATATTCATATGATGAAATACCACTGAATAATAAAAGGGAATGAACTACTCTTACACAAAACAACATGGATAATCTCAAAAACACTATGTTGAGCAAAAGAAGCCAGAAGAAAAGAATAGATACTATGTTATTCCATTTTTATACAGTTCTAGAACAGGCAAAACGTTTCTAGGGTGATAGAAATCAGAACAGTGATTGTCTCTGCAGGAGGAAAGGGATGAGGGAGGCAAGGAGGATGTGGTGACTGACTGGAAGGGGTATGAGGAACTTTCTAGATGATGGAAATGCTCTACATATTTATTTACTGATGGTTACAAAAGTGTATATAATTGTCAAAACTCATAGAATTGTATACTTAGTATCTATGCATTTTATGCAAATTATGCCCCAATTTAAAAAAACATGTGGGTCTAGCCAGATAGCTCATAGACTTGCTGCATTTTAGTGTCTGTCTGTCCCATTCTGGGGTATGTTTTCCACCCAATTAATACACCTCTTCAAACCTACTCAGATCTGGAACCAAACCTAAATAAACTTCTTTTTTTTTTTTTCTGTCATGGGCTTCTTGGCTGCCATGATATTCAGGACCTTGGCTCCATGTGTGGCTCTGTATGGTGGCCTGGGTATCACCTCCAGGAGTCACAAGGCCCAATCTGATCATGATGTCCAACATTCCAGTGGTCATGGTTAGTATTGCCATCTATGGCCTGATGGCAGTGCTGAATTCATTCATTCTGAATTCATTGCTGAATCCTAAAAAAGAAGACCTCATCTTCTGCAGCTAGGCACCAGCTTGAGTGATTGGTTGCTAGCTTTGTGGGGACCATCAGTGTGCGGGGTCTGCTCAGTAGCCGTATTTGTGAAGGTATTCTTGGTTCTCATCTTCCCTGAGGTACTCAGCTGCCATGGTCTCATCATTACCCTTATGCTCTTTATAAATTAGTCCTTCCCTGTGTCCAATAGAATACGATATAGAGGCCATCCATCCCCATCCAGCAGGAACAGCCTGATACACCTGCCTAGGGGCACTCATCCTGCTAGGTAGTTAGTCTTATAGATGTACAGTGTTTTAGTGCCCTATTTTCTGTTGCTCTTAGCCCTTGCTCCCAACTGCCTCATTGCAGTAGACAACTAGGCCTTCTCATTGCCCAACCAGGCCCTTCTGATCAGCAGATACAGGCCTCTGCCTGCCGCCCCACATTCATCTTCCCCTAAAGTGCCCTGTATATACAGATGAATTGGATTTTTTTCATCACTGTATGTTTATTTTTTAATAGCTTTGACATTTCATACGTCTGAAGAGGACACCACTGTCTCCCTTCCGTAGAGTAATCTTAGGTATAGTACTTCATTGAAGGGTTAGCCACATGCTCTGAGGCTCTTTAGAAGTCACAAGTCTGCTCTTCAGCTATTGGCCACTTGGGGGTCTGGGGAATAATGTGGTAGGCCTCAGTAACCCTTTGAGTTAGGGCTCTATCCAATTAAAAAACTTGGATATGATTGGAGAAACAGAGGTAGTTGTTCCTTTTATTTTAATTGTAAAGAAGAACTAAAAATGGGCCAATATTTTGGTATTAAGATCGTCAGTCAATTTCTGTTAAAAGAGGATACACAATGGTAGGTAATTTTGCTTTCTAAATTATGAATTTGAATCATTACTTCTCTTGAAAAATACTGCATTGAGTTATTGCCTAATTTGTAGTATTTGAAGATAAACAATCCAAGGTGTACATGTAATTAAAATTCCTTTTAAAAAATCCAGAATATGTCCCAGACGCTGAAATACAAATTTATTAGCTTAACAGTGTTTCAGTTAACCTATTAAACTCCAAATACTAAAACAGTGTTCTGCGCATATGTATGCAAAGCTGGGTTTAGGATTGCTCTGCTGTTACCAGGAGCTCAGCCTTCCACACACCTTTTCAAGATCTGATGCTCCAAGCATTCAAATATTCTCTTAGAATTCCCATTAACGATCAGTTCACATTTGAGTTTCTAGGTAACATCAATATAAACTGTCTAAATAAAACTGTGAAGCTGAGCAGGAATTTTCTTCTTGAAAGAAATAAATTCAAGGCTTTAAGTTATTCTCTGCAACTCGTCCTAATCATAAGTATGATATCTGAGAAGTTACAACTCTTACAGGCCAATAAAACAGATTGATTCTACTTGTTTAACTGCTAAAGAGAAATGTACCACTTTAGCACAACAAATGGAAAAGCACTGAACTGGGAACCAGTAGAGCTAGGTTCTCCTTTAGGCTCTGCCATACCTGTACGACCTTAGGCAAATCATTTCACATCTCTCTGCAGGTTAGCTCGGGTCTGCGCTCTCTTCCGCAGTTTAACAGGATGAGCTTGCAATTAGGTGAGAGGCCCCTAGATGGTGCTGTTGCTCTGCATTAGGCTATATATTTTTTCTCTCAATTACAGAGAAGTAAGAAGGCATAGATTAGAAAATGATTTCCTATTCTGAAAAAATTCACTGTTAAGAGTTCATTTGATGGTATTCAAAATGGCACTGAATTACAAATCGTATGGCCCACATGCATGTAACATTAATTAAAAGGAATAAACCATTAATGATTATATACTAAATATCCCCTTATAATTAGCCCATATATCCATCACTATTTCTCTGGGTATATTTATCTAAGCTTAAGAAACTAAATAAAAAACTAAACAATTATTGTTAAGAGTACTTAACTCTTATATATACATATAACAGACTCTGGAAAAATGATGTTTTGTTTTTTTCAAATGCCAGTTCTAATAATAAATTTTGATAAATGCAGATTTTTTTATTATTAATCTTTCAGATTATATTAAAAACCTGTGATTTCCATGAGCACAATGACAGATATATCACATCACCCCTCCAGCCATGTAAACAAGGGCATCTTTTAAAGGAATCTGCTGTCTTTTAGTGTTCAAAAGGGAAAGAATAATATACCAAACGACTTCGCTAGTCTTAACCCACCAAAGAAAAAGGATTCAGAAATTCTAGTTTGAGGAGGCTTGGATGAACAATATCAGGTTTTCACCTAAAATTCCTGGAAGGAAAAAGAATACATTCCTATTTCTCCCCTATGAAACCGACTGAGTATAAAAATTACGTTTAATCAATATACAGAAAAAGAAAGTACCTATGAAAACCCATTCCAAGCTACATTTTGGCTTCCTGTCAGTTGAGTGGGTAGTAAACGTCAAGCAAAAAAATGTAGCATGACAGAGTGAAGTAACATAAAACTGTGAATTTTGTTTCAATAAAGATTTTTGTCAAAAATTAAAGAGGAAAGATATTGGATCTTGGTGGATCCACGATAGTATATATGTGAAAATTATCCATTCATCCAACCAATCAACCAATCAACCAACCAACCAACCAGCCAACCAACCAACCAACCAACCAGCCAACCAACCAACCAATCTTTACTGAGCCTATATGGTGTAAAGGGCTGGAGATATAAAGATAAGATACCACCTTTATTCTCAAAAAACTCAGTCTAGTGTGAGAAAAAGACTGAAAATTTCGGTTCAGTTTATTATAGTGTCAAGTAGATTTACAAGTATTGCACTTATCATTCTGCTGACAGAAGGCCAAAATTTAAGAGGGATATTTTTCTCCAATAAAGCTCGATTTTCACGATCTTTTACATATTAAAATTATGCAAAGAAATATACCTCATATCCTATTGCAGACACTCCCCCCTTCCTTCTGTTGTACAGCCTTCTGCAAATGGGAATGTAGTTGGGACAATCCGTTTCTCATGAAATTACTCGAGTGAAATTTGACAAGAGTTTTCTTTATACTGTCTTCTTTATCCAAACCATGTAGAAAAAACAGCTCCCGTACTCCAAAATCAATTGTAACCATATAGCTGGGAGATAAACTTTAATCAAAGATAAAGTAAATCTCTCCTCCTTACAGAAAACCATGTGGTGTTCACACAATGGTTTGACCACGGGCTGCCTAACTTTGGATGATGGGAAATAATAACAAAAGCTGAAAGGTGGCCCAGCATATGAAACTCTTCTCAAAAACAGAAGAAAGTCATCAACATTGTTGGGAAAGTGTTTTACATTTCCAATGAAATTCTATTCCATTGATCTGTTTGGAAGATTGTCTTCGACCTATTTGGCTTTAGCCCATAAGCTGTAATTGATCTAGTCAAGTGAGGAACCACTTTTATACTAAGCCTGGAATGCATAACAATGGAAAGCAGGAAAGTGGTTTTTTTATTTACTCTAATAATTGTGCAGGGATGAGCCAGGGAAAAAAATCCCAAAAAAGTATCAGCATTCGGTCTTAAATTATTTTTCATTCTGATTATATTAGGAAGAAATGAGCTGTGGGGGTTTGGCATTGTTTTCCATCTTAACAGTTGCTCTGTATTCTGAGATATATGTGATTCATAATGTACCACTACAAGACACAGCTTTTATATATTACTGGGGTAACGCAAAGAAAATGAATTTTTCTTTGGCTACCAGTAATTGTCAAAAGAATGATTGCAGATTCAGAAAACGTGCTTTATAATAACCCTGTTAACATAAAGTATACATGGAGGAAAGAAATAAGTACGGCAGGTATGTGGAAGGGTTAGTTGTGTTAGCAAGGCATTTCAGGATGGTTTTGGTTCTCCTGACTAAGATACACAAAATTTTAACCCCCTTCAACTCCTTGGACAAAGGGGAAAACCCTTAGTAACACAAGGAGCATTTGGTGAGCATGAGCTGATTCACCTCATGCTGACAAAGGCTCCAGCTAGTTAATACACTACCCCCTCCTGAAGTAAGGATTTGCCCTGGTAATGAGGATAATACGCTCAAGCTGTTAGAATTAATTTGAATATCAAAAATGAAATTTAGATTACCAACCATGTCCTGATAGTTACAGCATGTAGAATATCAAACGTCCTCTTTTTAAACTAAAGTAAAAAATGAAGAAGCATGGTTAATTCACTTGTGCTGATGAAATAGATGTCCAAGTGCAACTTTTGCTTGTAAGCCTCCCCATGCTGCCATGTCCCCAGACGCTTTCCCTGGGGAAGTCTGTATCTGCCTTGCTAATCCTGCCTGATGTTTTCCTTGTTAGAATACTTGCTCATGGGTTTCCATGGGCATGTTTCTACTGTGAATGAAAGCTAACCTCAAAATCTAGACATTTTCTGCTTTCAGAAAATTCTAGTGTACCATGTACAGCATAGAGATTTCTTTCAGTTAAAAAAAAATAGTGCAAAAACATATCTGATAGTCAAAGTGATAGTTCAAGTGAGTTCTTGTGCCAAGGAACACAGTCAAGCTTCACCTTTAGCTGACTTGTAAAAACTGAATGTAGTTTTTGGGAAATATTCCAGATCTTCCCATTAGTTCTCCACTCATCCAGTCATCATCTACAGATTCCAGCTCTGTTATTATATCTCCAGCCTGTAGGAAGACAGGAATTGGAAATAATTATGAGTTTCTGTTGAGTATCTACACGGTGAGCACCCACCTGGAGAGGCACGTATCATCTTCTCTTCGTATCTCATTTATCTTGACTTGCTGAGAGGATTAAATGAGGTACCACAAAGATGATCTGTACCTGATGATGCCATTTACTTGGACGCCTGTTCCTCAAAGCCCATTCCTTTGACAGTGTCACCTGTGCTGCACTTTGATTTTCCTGCTCGTATTTTGTGCCCCCCAAATTCACCACTCTTGATCTAAAATTCTTCTTTAATAAATAGCAATACCAGCTATCATGTGTGTGTATTATATACATATTTTTTAATTTAAAAATGTTTATTTTTCATCTAACAATTATTTATTAAGCATCCACTATGTGTCAGACACTGTTCTGGGCACTACGGACAGAGCAACGAATAAAGACCTCATTCTAGAGTGGGTAGACAAACAAACAAGCTGGCAGAGGAGGACAGAAAGTGTGGCGTTGCCATCTCATTAGGGCAGTCAAGGAAGGCCCCACTGAAAGTGACACTGAAGCAAAGACTTGAAGATGAGAGAGTGAGCCATGTGCTTAACTGTATGTCTTGTCCTACTCTATGTACCTTATAGGAATTAACTCATTTAAACAACACTGCAGTCCTAGAGGTGAGGACTATTACAATTCTCATTTTAGAGAGATATTTTTATAGACTTCCTTATTTTAAAGAAGGAAAATGGAAGCTCAGAGAGATTAAGTAACTTGCTCAGCATCACGTCTAATTAGTGGGAGAGATAGAAATCAAATCTAGTGTGATTTCAGGGCCTGTATTGCTAACCATTAGGCAATATGGCCACCACATTTTACAATGGACCTTCTTACTTAGAAAGGCTTTTACTATAATTGCCTTTTCCCAACATCCTCAGCATTTTGTACTCTACATTTATTCTTCCACATAATGGTACATTCTCCTCTACCATCTGGTTTTATTCCATTCCCCCATGGCCTCACTATCAAATTTGCATTCTTTCCTCTCCTAAAGAAGTTCACCCTGACTCAGAACACTGATTTATCCTCCTCAGGTTGTGTCTTATTCACGTGTGTGTCTTATTCACGTGTGAATTATAATTCCTCAACAGATAAAGCATATTTTTTCAAATTATCTCCTGAAACTATTTTGTTCTTTATGGTGTCTAACCATTTCTTAGAATCTGAGTTTAAGATTCTATAATCGTCCAAGATGACCCTGGCTACTTTTAAGAATATCTTTATAGGCTAAACGGATTTATTTGTAGCCCTGGTACACTGTCCTCTGGAAAAATGGTTTGCTTTAAGGCCTTTCTTTATGGAAAATGAAAAGGAAAAATGCTATAAAATGTCATTAATTCACTTTGCTAAAATCTGTAAAAATTCTGGCTATTGAAAGTTTCTATTATAAATAAATTCCTTACGGTTCTTAAATTATAACACAATGATTGACTAAAACTAATTTTCTTAGCTCAGAGTACGTACCATGTCAGTTTTTTAAGGACTAGAACAATTCTTCTAAAAAATAAAGTTTTATCTACTAATAGTCTGTGGATATTTAATAAAAAATTAATGATCAACAATACTGAAAGCAGTACAGAATCCCTTAACTAAAAACTCTAGAACCATCTTGCTCATAGTCAGGCATTTGTAAAATGAAGATAACCTATTTTCTGGAGGATACTGTTACGTGAATTCTGTTATTTATACTGACATAACTTAAACGAAAGCCAAAAGAACATCCACAAAGTTTGAATCCAGAGTGTTCACCTTCAGTAACATTTTATGTAAAGATAAAAGAAATTAATTTTGAGCCAGTGACTCTCAAGACTGAAAGGACTGGGGCAACAGTTTCCAAACATTTGGATTTTAAGGACCAAAAAACAAAACAAAAAAAAGAATTGATATAAGGTTACCAGATTATAATTTAGCAAAAGAACTATCTATAAATTACTAATAATATTTTATAATAGAAATGATATTTTAATATGAAAAAAATGGAAGAAAGTCTTAGAAGCAAGGTAAACTCCATCACAAAACAGGAAAGTTAGCAAACTTATACTGACATATCTTAGCACACCCCCTTTACTCGTGACTTCCCCAAAGCCTGCACGTACCCAACATCATCACCTTGTTTTTCTCATTTTGTTGTAAACAGGTGAAAACCTCGTCTCAGTGAAAACACCCACTGTTTTAAGTCTCACCTTGTCCTATCACTCCTTCATGCTTGAATTCCTCCTACAGCATCCCTGCCTCTGACTGACTATCTCCAATGATGAAGAATTTGCCACTGTCTGACACAGGCTCTTCTGACAGCAATGACGACTAAACCACTCCTTCCTCGGGGACAGTCCCATAGTACTACCTGGGTGCTTTTCTCTGACCATGGTCCAACTGTGGACTGGGGAAACAGGATCGTGGACATATTCTGTTTTTACTTAAAAAAAAAAAAAATAAGAGGCTTATTAATCTTACTTAGATGAAGGAAGATTAAGATTAAACTTTGGCTTCTAAAAAAACCTCTGCAAATCAGCTTAATCTTTTGGGATCATTTCCCTAAAGCCTAGTCCGTGTCTTTGTGGATAAGACTCCAGTGTCTCATGAGGCACTTCTGCAGTGGCCAGCTGTAGTAGGTACCATCTGATTTCTCCACTGATTTCACAGACATGACAGTAGCAAGCTGCAAGAAGCATCCTTTACTAGGGCTACCAACAAAATATACCAACAATATCCCTGAGATCTGATGTTATAAGGCCTAGGAATAAGGAATTCGCCTGGGAATTGTGTGGGTATCAAGCCAATAAAGTTTTCTTTGAGTACCTAAAGGCCTTACTGATAATTCACTTTTGCCCTATTCAGCTTCTCTAAACTCTTCCTTTAGAATTAGGGTCTGAGATCCGTTCATTCTTGGCTAATGATGAGTACTCCATCCAATGTTCCACCCTTTAATGGAAGACATTTCAAAATTTATAGTTGCTTAATGCAGTTAGCAGTTACAAAAAGATACACATTCTGACCTTGAAGGAAAGCTCATCTTCATTCTCTCCATGGAAATCATATAAGGCTTTGGCCTTCCTCCCCTTCAGGGCTAAAGCAGACATACTTTTTGCCTCGGCTGTGAAGACACCAAAAATTCAAATATACAGAAAGACATTGAACTAAAATATGAATCAAACACGTTAAGAAATCCCCCTGTCATTTCCAGGACAGATTATTTACAATTAATTTTGAATTTATCTAACTTTCAAAAAGATGAAGGTTGTTCTCTTAGCAGGAAAAAAATTATACAAAATATATTGAGTAGACAAAATTAGCCATTATTAAGTGAAAGCATTTTTATCTTTTTTTCCCCATAACTCCAACAAAGTATAACGAGAGTACATAACTTTATGAATCAATTCTTTGAAATGTAGGCAAATAACTTAAACTGAACATGGCCAGAGGGAAAAGAAATACATATTGTTTCAAAGGTCTTGGGATCCCCGTAGAGAGTAATGAGTCATTTCTTGCAGTTGTCATACCTGGGCAGGGCCGCACAAAGACTGCTGGGAAGATCCCCTCCCTGTCACGCAGTCTGCCCTTGTACCACTCAGAGTCCAGATGCTCAAGGATCAGGATCCGGTCTCCCCTCTTGAAGGACAAGTCATCACTGGTCTCCGCTGTAAAACTGTGAAGGGCTTCACACCATTCTCCAGAAAGACTGTTATTCTGTCACAAATCAGAAGTTTGGTCAGAAATATAAGATTTTATTTAAAATTGATTTCTACAAAGCTTATAAAGTGGTGGAAAAAAAGTTAAGAGGTCATAAGATCTCAAAGTGTGAAGGCTTTTTCAAATCTCCCAACATTTTATGTTGCCATCAAGTTATCAAAATAAAAGTTTCCAATAACTTTTTTCTTAAAATATAATTATAAATGACAGATGTGATAGAATTTGTGACTTTTTTGCTTTTAAGGGACATACAATGCTTAAGTAAAAACTTTTCTCTAATTATGATCTATGATATTAGTTACATTTAAAAAATTAGGTGAAAGCATATAATATTTATGTATAGTATGTATGATACTTTGAAAAAATTTCAGTAGAGCTCTTCTTTACTTTAAGAAGGACCAGAACGGGCAGTTTGTTAATTTCCAGGTCTTTACCTGATTCAGAGGCTATCAGATTCCATGGCATAAGACTTCATTAATTCACACTTTCAATTTTATGAGTAGCAGTTAGCTCTAAGGCTGGCAGGATAACGACCCAAAAGTGGTGGGCTAACATGTTGGAACGCTCCAGTGAGAATGCTTTTGCCCTAAACACATCAGAGGAAGGTTCTGATTTGTGAAGAGGTGTCTCTGCCAAGTTGGAACAGGAGCTATGTTCAAGACGCTCAAGCATGGAGGAAGGATAATGCTAAGAGCAAAGGCTTGGAGCCAGACAGGCCTGGGTTCTAGACCCAGTTGTGCCACTTCCTAGCTGACACTGGGCAAGATACTTCTCTTCTCTGAGCCTTAGCTTCATCTTAGGGTGGCTGTCAGGATTAAATGAGATAATGAATGTAGAATGCTCAGCACAGTACCTGGCACATCTTAAGTTCTCAACAACTGATGACTTATAAAACAAGAACAAAAAACCAAGCAAACAAAAAGTCAGAACCCCAGCCTTCTTGCTCCTGCACTTGAGTAACCAACCCTAAAGAACAGTACTTCTCATTCCCCAGAAATGCAGGCAGATGTGAGCATGTCCTTTTGGAGAACTGTAGTCACTTTCTTTCTTGTTTGACTGGATCAGTGGGCAAGGAGGAAAGAATTAAGAGACACAGCCCAATGGCCGGTGACATTTTGACTAACAATGACCCTGTCAGGCTCACTCTTCTAAAATATGTCACTAAAAACATGGAAGTCGCCCACATGCCTATTCAGTTTAAACATTTGTGAAGTCATGTTATACCGTGTAAAATTTTAATCCACTTTTTTCTCTCTCCTATTATAAAAATAATACAAATGTTCCTAAACATTTGGCCAGTTTGGAAATGTATGAAGTGGGAAAAATACCCACCCACCTATACTCTTACCACCTAAAGGCAACTGAATGTTAACAAGTAAAATATATTTCCTTCTAGTCTTTTTATGCTATATATTCAATTTCCTATAACATATGTTTTCTTCCCATGACATTTACTTTATAAATCTAGTTTTTCATGGCCTTAGAACGTTCTCCCGATAATGGTCATATTTAGGCTGTTTCCAATTTTTTCCTATTATAACAACACCACTATGATGATCTTTGTGACTAAAATCTGATCTCATTTTTTAATCCTTTACTTAGGGTGGGACGTAATAATAATAATCTGTACTTTCTCTCTCTTTTTTTTTATATTTTAAATTTTATTCAGGTCATATTGGCTTAAAACATTGTATAAATTTCAGGTGTACATCATTATATTTCAGTTTCTGTATAGACTGCGTTGTGTTCACCATCAATAGTCTAGTTTTTATCTGTCATCAAACATATGTGCCCCTTTATCCCTTTCACCAATGATTTTTTTTTCTTTTTTTGGTGAGGAAGATTGGCCCTGAGCTAACATCTGTTGCCAATCTTCCTCTTTTTCACTTGAGGAAGATTGTATGTGGGATGACACCACAGCATGGCTTAATGAATGGTGTGTAAGTCTACACCCGGGATTCGAACCTGCAAACCCAGGGCTGCTGAAGCAGAGTGCATGAACTTAACCACCATGCCACCGGGCTGGTCCCTGTACTTTCTCTTTTTTAACATTCATATATTTATAATTGTTTAGTGCTAAGATGTATTGAATCTTTGTTAACTAGATATGTTATACGGTATTTTATTGCTGCTTTACAAGGCATTTCTTTGATTACTAGTAAGGTTAATTTTTTTTTTTAATATGAGCCACTTACAGTATCTTTTTAATGACTATTCAAATCATGTCTCTTTCCTTGTTTTCTCTCAGGGTTTGCATGTCTTTCTAATCCATTTGTACGAGCTCTATATACAATAAAGATATTAACTATTTAACTATTTCAAACATTTGCTATATGAATTGAAAAATGACTCACAACATTTTCTCTTGATAATTATGATTTTCATATTCCTCTCAGAGTTGAAACCTAGCTTTCACTACAGTTACCTATTCAAGCAGCCTACCTGAGAATTTGCACCAGAATCTTCTTTTCTGGTCTTCGAGGGTAACTTTGTGCCTATGTTAAAAAGAAAAAAGTCAAAACTTGAGATGTAAAGACCATATGGTACTGGAGAAAACCATAGGGTAAGAGCAAAAAGTCTGGGATTCTAGATGAGTCTCTTCGTGTATTGGGCACATAGATTTGACTGGCACTACCCTCTCTGGCTTTGTTTCCTCTACTGTAAAATGAAGGAAGATACACATTGTTTTAGTCTATAGACCATTTCTGTTTAAAAGTCTGATCCTTTGTCTGCCATTTCCGATATGAAGCTATTGCTAATTACCTAAAATACCAAAATTAATCACCACAATAATGACCATCCCAATAATGACTATTACCATTTAAAACATGGTAATACTACCATAAAAATACTACCTTAAAAAATATGGTAATATGAATTATTATGCAGTTTATGTATTATCCTATTATTTGGTTTAGCTGAATTAGGATAGGACATAATAAAAAATTATACTCTCCATACTCACTTAAAACCTTTGTACCAGAGGTGGAATGATCCTCAACAAGTTCCACAAAGTTAAGAGGGAAAATCCCAGTTCTGTCTCGAAGTTCTCCTCTAGCCCATTCTTCATTCACATACTCTTTAAGAATAATAATTTCTCCCTCTGAGAAACTTAACTCATCCTTCTGGTCTCCAATATATTCAAACCGAGCAACACATCTTGGGCCTCTGAATAAAGAAGATCACATTTGTGGGTTAAACTGCAGAGTACTAACTTTCAAAATGCTTTAAAACTCTCATTCAGTCTTTCAATAAGCATTTATTCTGTTTACTATGGAACAAGGTATACGAGGCATAATTTAAAATTTTTCGTCAGATGGAATAAGCTACATTTCTAAAGGATAGTCTTTACTTTTTAGATATGAACCTATTCACTCAGAAAGGGTAAAGTCAAGGTCACAGAGTACATGCAGAATTGCAGATAAGCAGCTAGGTGGTCAGTTTATGCCGCCACGTCTTTTGATCACCTTTACTTCCTTACAGAATCTCCCCTGTCTCCATGTCTTTGTATCCTTGAGCCACAGTAATCATGGCTGAGTCTGAACCCTCTCAATCACAAATGCACTGAGTTTAAGAGTGCTAACCCTGAGAATCTCAGGGCAAGATTTCAATCCTCCATGGCAGAATGCAACAGGCAACAGCTGGGCAGAGCAGATGCTCAATACATGTTGAATCAATCAGTGAGTTTTATACACATAGATGAATGGCTTTCAAAACTAGAAGGTTTGAAGAAAACAGAAACTTGGCATATAATCTTATAACACTTAATCTTACACCTAGCACTGTTGTTTTAAAAATGATTTTTGGAGCCAGCCCTGATGGCCTAGTGGTTAAAGTTCCATGTGCTCTGCTTTGGCGGCCCAGGTTCACTTCCTGGGTGCGGAACCACACCGCTCGGCTGTCAGTAGCCATGCTGTGGCGGCAGCTCACATAGAAGAACTAGAAGGACCTAGAACCAGAATATACAACTATGTACTGGGGCTTTGGGGAGAAAGAAAAAAAAAGAGAGATGATAGCTTGGGGCAAATCTTTTCCTGCAAACAAACAAAACACTTAAAAAAAGAAAGATTTTTGTATTTCCTCTAAAAAGGCTTCATTTCTGGGGCTGGCCTGGCGGCATGGTTGTTAAGTTCACATGCTCCGCTTTGGTGGCCCAGGGTTCGCTGGTTCAGATCCCAGGCACACCACTTATCAAGCCATGCTGTGGCAGACATCCCACATATAAAGTAGAGGAAGATGGGTACAGATGTTAGCTCAGGGCTAATCTTCCTCAAAAAATAAATAAGTAAATAAATAAATGAAAAGGCTTCATTTCTGAGAATTAGAACAATCTTTAAATGATCTACAATTTTGACTAAAAATAAGATAAAAGTAATTGTGTCTCTAGAAGGCATGATTTAATACCAAACCTTTGATTTGAGGCTTTAGAAAGGAAGTTGCAAAAGCAACAAGCTAAGGCGATGCAATTGCCTGAAGAGAAAAGGTTGGAACTGGCACAAATCAGTCTGACTTAAGTCAGGTCAAGGGATCAATGGCTGTGAAAGTCCACTTTAAATTCAACCTGATGACAGAGTAAATAAAACACTGCTTAAAAATAGGAGAAAAATTGAACCCGAAGTAGAATTCAACTACGGTAGCATCAGAAGTTTTCTTATTTGTGATAACCTTTGCATTTATTTTCTGAAGTCCTCAGGGAGCATCTCCTCACGCCTGACCTATTCAGAGACAGGTTTACAGTTTTCAGCAGGTAGTGAATTCTATTAATTTGCTCATTTAGCTAGAAAATAAAAGTGCACTGTGGCAGTGTTTTAAATCACAAAGGAGTTACAACAATGCATAAAAGGGTATGTAAATTCAGAGAAAGGTCACCAGACATAAAGGAAGACCCCTCCAGCTTAACTCTTCCTCTCCTCTACTTCCTCTTAATAACAAAATAACACAAAATATCTAGCAGGTTTTATTTAGGGCTCATATTTATTCTATAAAGTTTAAATACTTTCGATGACAAAATATTTCAATCTTATAAAAATTTGTTAGTAGATAAACACCAGAAGGCCAAAACAAAATGCATTAGATGGCAAAAATGTCTCTGCTCAAGCTGAGGCCAGGCTGTGGGAAACACCAGGATAGACTCTGTTGCTGTCAGACGTCCTATATTGATATGGAGAGTTGCTTATGTCAGTTTCTATCAGCATGTTGCATCTTCATCAGAATTTTAATCCACTACAGCTTTTTAAACAAGTAAAGCATTCCTCATAATTAAAAAGACATAGTGAAAATCTGAATAATCACACATCTGAAGTGTTTAAGCTTGGTAATTCTTTAGGATACAAACGCTCACCTCCTTTGTATTTTGTGCAAAAAAATACAAATAAAACTTACTTAACATAATGAGATGAAACCGATTCTCTTTTCCCATTTACTCCTTCTGGAACATCAATCTAGTAAAGACAAAATCAAAACAACAATTCTACTTTTTCAGATTTTAGTAAGATAAATTTATCTTACTTAGGCTAAGTAATTAGAAAATGCATGATTGAAATTATCCAGTTTAGCTAGGTGTTAAACTCATGCTAAAAGGTGAGAAATTCAGAATTTGGGTTTTGAAAAAAACACGTAACTTGTAATGTAGCTTTCCTTGAATAGCCCATCAATCCTTCTCTTATTTGCTGGAATAAGCACATTAATATCATTCTACCCCTGACTGAGTTTTCTCTGTCCTATATCCTCCAAGTTGGATGAGGAGGACTGAAGATAGAAACTAGACATCAGGCATTCACGCACCACCACACCTACTCATGGTGTTGGTAGGATTCTGCAATACTTTCCTGAGCCCAAAACAAAACATTTTATTCAAATTTTTGGATTCTCTCCATTTTCATAACTCTGGAACATCTTTTTCCCTTCAGCGAGAATAGGGAAGGAAGAAAAGAATTAGTACTCAGTGAGCATCTACTAAGCGGCAAGCACTTTATATGATACCTCATTTACAAGGCTTAGTGGAGCCGGGTTGTAATAAAATATTTGACCATAATGCACTAAGTCTAGAAACTACTTAAAGCTTTGAGGTTTATATTAAATAAATCAGTCCTCTTCTTGATGAATTCTAAAAGTTCAAAGTTTTAAAACAATTTTTTAAACTTGTAGGCTTAGAAATAACACTTATACCAATAATGTGGCAGATTCAGCGTGATTGATTTCAGTGTGGTAATTGTGCTTTTTAAAGTACTGCAACACTGGGCAGAAGAAAAATGAGGAAGAGTGCTAAAACAAACATTACTCTTAATATTAATTTAGAGAATCTGGTCGGATTTCTCCAAAGAATCAGGGCATACATATACTGGTCAATTTTTAAGACCCACATTTTGTAATTCAAGAGACTCAAACTCATTTATATTTGAAAAATACAGGCTTTCTGTTATATCTGTTTTCTAAGTTTTTGATGTAATGGAAAATCATTTGCTTTTTTCCTCCCAGATAAGCTGTTAATGCTCAACTATTTAAGCTAGCTTTAGTTGATAGTTTCCAGTATCAATAAATTATATCAGGGACCGAATCGTACTCTTCCTATTGATAGAAGTGTTCAAGTGGCAGTCTGATTTTATCTGCATGTTTCACAACCACCTGGGCTTAGCAGTTAGAACCCTACCATTTGGGTCTACTTTCACAAGTTAGGTTGTGAAGGTATACAAAATTCTGATGCTTTAATATAATATTTCCCAATCAGATTTGAAATTATTATGTGAAAAACCATTAATGGAACACTACCTCCAATGAAGGTACTTTAGTATTCCCAAATCTATTTTTTTAAAAATGGAAATAGAGGCCGGCCCACTGGCACAGTGGTTAAGTGCACACGTTCCGCTTTGGCGGCCCGGGGTTCACCAGTTCAGATCCCGGGTGCAGACATGGCACTGCATGGGAAGCCATGCTATTGTGGGCGTCCCACATATAAGTGGAGGAAGATGGGCACGGATGTTAGCTCAGGGCCAGTCTTCCTTAGCAAAAAGAGGAGGATTGGCAGATGTTAGCTCAGGGCTCATCTTCCTCGGAAAAAAAAAAAAGGAAATAAATAGGAATGGAAAGGATGAAAAAACCCAAAAATTAAATGCACTCCAAAGAAAATGAGAAGTGGTACCATAACCTCAGAGAACATTCCTTCAGGACAATACTGTACCATTTAATTCTTGTTTACTAAATGTTTCAAAGAATTAACATATATCCTTAAGTGCTCATCAAGGATCCAAGGATAGTTGATTCACCAGTTAACATGTAGTAGTTTTTCACTTTACGATTTCAGATAGCTTATAGGCAGTAAGTTCTAATACTCTGTAATAGAATAATTAACCATTATCTAGTTGAACAAACTTTTATTTTTTGAATTCTCCAAACACCAAATGAATCCATGGAAGAGAGAGAACTAGAACCCAAGAATCCAGGATTCTGGTTATTTTTTCCAAACTGCAAGCTACATAGAACCCACTGAACATATGACCAATTTTAACAAGCACAACCCACTTACAATTACTTTGACATAGTTTGCAGGAAATATGCCAGTCTGGTTTCTACATTTCCCTCTGTACCAATCTGTATCTATTTTTTCCAGAAGATAAACAATTTCTCCAGAAGTGAGGTTCAAATCATCAACTTGCTCTGTAACATAAAATTATAATTATGAATGATGAATTATCCTGGTTGCAGATTTGATTAAAGCAGAGCATAAAGTAGCATTTAGTTCTCTCCACTGAGGCAGGATGTTCTACTGATTCTGGGAACAAATTATACTAATCAAATTGAGTTAAAAAAATATATTCTTTTTTTTGGATATTGTTGTTATGAGCTTCTTCTTTCAAGACAAAATTAGATATATTTACCATGCACTGACTGATAGAAAATGGTTAAAAAAAAACCCGACAACATCATGCTGGGCAATGACTCCTACTGTGCCAATACAAACCCTTTGCTGAATACATATTGAACAATAAAAGAGTTTTATAGACATGGTATAATATTCTTATTATTCTCAGTCATGCTTAAAAATCATTTCAATCTCAAAATATTAACTAAGGGAGTACTACAGCTCTTTAGCAAGTAAATTGACTCATACTAAAATAAAAATCTGTCCACCAAGTGGATAAAAAGAGGTTATAAATAAACCAGGAGGTTATTTTCTGTGTAGCCTTGAACATAAAAGGTATGTAAAAAGGGACTAGAAAAATTTATATTTTCATCTCATAAGTAATAGCTGAGGTATGTGTGCAGGCTTTACAACTCTTAGGAGAAAAGAACTTCACTTATTAAATTAGAATTAATTGTATTATAATTGTTAATTGGTACCCACCGTTTTGAAAGAGTTAAAAAGCTGGCAACGGGTAGGTAATTTGCTATTTGTTCTTCTGTAAGGGAAACTAACTCTTTCTCTCATGGGGAGCTTCAAAGGCAAGGGTATGCAGCTATGCTTTCTGGAATGGGTGGGTACAATTGACCCTTCCTCTTGAAGGCAGGGTGATGGATAAGACGACCTCTCCAGGCCACAGAAATGAAGAAATGAAGAAAACGAAGAAAATGAAGAAGGATATCCTTGAGAGGTTAACCCAAGGAGGACATCTGTTTCTGGATCCTAAGCCTCTACCACTTTATTATTTATGTCCTTACCTGCTGGAAAGTCATGAAGAACAACAGCATGAGGAGCACTACCGTCAACAGGCTTCTGAGCGTAGCTTGGATCCTTAGGGGGAAAACAGGGCTGTGAATGAAGTGCAGGATGGATGCTGGATTTGTTACTCACCCTGAGACCATTTTTTTTTTCCTCATTAGAGTCTTCTTGACACAATTACATTATGAGTACAAGATGCAAACCACACAGTTGAGCCAAACAAGGGAATCATTATCAAGTTGAAAAGGCATGTGTCCTTGCCAAGGGAGGACAGAAATAACTCTCAATTATAATGTCTTCTAACATTTCTTTTTAAACCAAGAGAGTCAAACAAAAAGGAATTACTTAACTTTTTTTTTTTTTAACCAGTACCTATTTTACCCTGAATTAGTGGTTTTTGACCTCTTTACCCTTCCTGGGTCCCTTTTTCCTTAAATTGTGACCAGGACTAAACCTTAAGAACAAAGGCTTAAAAGTTCTGTCTTCATTAAGATAGGAAAAGAAGAAAGTTCTGCAGTTTATGCTCTTGCCTTTCATAATGAAAAGAGCTAATGACTTCCACAAAAGGATAATTCGCAAAAAGTAAAATCCATTTCATTTATTACCACTTAACTGAATGCTTTCTCTAATTTGAAAACTGATGCTACCTTCAATGCCTGGCTTGGATTTTCTATTTAATCTGAATGGTTTATTCAACAGTAATTCTAAGTAAACTAGCAAAGAGAATTGAATATTCTCTACCCATTTAGCCAACTGCCTTGATTGGCTAAAGGAGAGGATAAAGCTGAAAAGCGATCTTTTCTCACTGACAAACAGTTGTTATTCTTCGTTTCTTTATGTGAATAGACAGGCTTATTCACATCATCACCATTATCAAATCTGACTGAAGGATATTATCTGGAGTTATAACTTAAAACTCTTCAACATTGGCAAGCCTGTGAAATAAATGAAGGCAGATTTTTGTGCCCTTTCTTGTCTCTTCACCTCCTTCAATGACTCTTGTCCCCTTAGGGCTATCCCTACACTTTTATTCCTTTATCCCTCCCCTAGCCACGATGCCCTCAGCTGATCAGACTGCGCCGTGGGTAATGGTCCGCTTTCTCCATTTCCAACCCAGCAGCACCTTAACTCAGATCTTTTCTGAATTTCATCTGTGCTTTCAACCAATAGGCACCTGTGGAGGCATGCTGCATTCTCTCAAGTTAGGTAAACTGAAGTACTAATTTACATCAAGACAGTAATGGCTAATGGCACCTTACTATATTAGCTTACCAAAGTAACACTGGCATTTTCTTAGAGGCTGTTCAGAGCTTTTCCCTAAATAAATGAGCATAAAGGGAATTTCAAGGATTGTGGAAAGGAATTGTGAGATATTTTAAGTCTAGAGGGGCTTTTAAAAATTAGTATTTACATCATTTATTATATATGTGTGTGTGGTTTTCACTTTTTTCTGATTTACACCTGTGGAAAAAGGAATGACTATTCAATAAACACTGTTAGGGTAGATGGCTATCCATTTGGAAAAAATGTAGTCAGAGGCCTATCCTACACCAAACACAAACATGAATCTCCAAATGGACCAATGATATAAACATAACCAAGTCTGAGAGGGTCGAAGAGGTGGGACAGCAACTTGTGTCTCCCAATTAGTCTCCCTTCTCTGCCTTCAACACATGGCTATCCTGGCAATGCTGCTTATCAGCCTGGCCTGGGAGACGAAGAGCAAGAGGAACAGGCTAAACAAGGTTGGCCACGAGGGGTCAGTACAACTTAGACCACATCATTAGGGTGGGTGTCTGGCAGGTAAATATTGTATATTTCAAAGCTCTTTCTAACATGACTATAATTGCTAATACAAACGAGCAATAAGAAGAGCTAACATCCACTGTTCACTCACTATGTGCTACTCACTGTGTTAAACACCTTATATGCTTTAATTAGCTGATTTAATTTTTTAAATATCTTTGAGATATAATTCACACACCATAACATTTAGCCATTTAAAGTGTACACAGTTTTAGTATAGTCACAGAATTGTGCAACCATCACCACAATCTAAGTTTAGAATATTTTTATCACTCCAAAAAGAAACCCCCTACCCATTAGCAGTCACTCCCCATTCACCCTACCCCAGACCTAGGCAATCACTAATCTACTTTCTGGATTTACTTACTCTGGACTTTCATATAAACTGAATCACACAATAAATCAATTCTAAAAACAATTCAGTGAGGAATTATCATACCTATTTTACACATTCAAAAAACGAAGTTTAGAGAGGTTAAAAATAACTGCCTAAGGTGGTAGAAGGTGAACTGGCAGAGCTCCCTAAATGCAAATCTGTGCTCCCCACCATGTGCTAGGTAAGAACCTCCCACTTCTCCCATGACTGACAAATTCAACTTCAACCTACAACGTTCAATATTTTCTGTTTACTAAGATAGGGGAAAGTATAACACATTTTTACCAATCTTTACCTTAAAACTAGATATTCAAATAGGCAAGTTTTATTTTTCTAAAAAATGTTATGCTAGCCCTGAACCCAGAAGTTACCTAAAGAAGGCTTCATTTTAGTATCACCAGGAGTTGGCCATCAGAGGTTAACTCTCTGCAAGCCTATGGTACAAGATGAGTAAGGTAACATTTAAATCGGAAAAAACTTTGGACTGTTATAAAAGAATAACTTCTCATTTTTTAGCTTCTATTTTTCATCAAGGAAAGCTTTTTGGCAGTATAACTCCCACTGTTAGCCATTAGTGTGTTCTGAGAGAGGAAGGACAGCTGTGACAGATGGATAATGTTGTATCAAAGCAAAGGGAAAATGAGCCCTGGAAGAACTTGCCCTGTGTGGACTAAAGGCAGAATTTCAGTATCCCAGCTGCAACTAGCTTAACACATATCTTCTCTGCTCTTCAAAATACAAACGTTTAGTTTCTCAGCAAACTTCAAAAGATAAAAAATCTTCTAAGAAGAAAGAATTGGACAAGATTATGAGAACTAGGATGAATGGCAAACCAAATACTTTATTTGGGTTAAATGTTTAGTGGATATTATATTTCATGTTTGCTACATTAACTAACAGATAGTGAAAATTTAACTGGATAATTTAAGAAGCTCTTTTAAAAATATATTTCTATCATTTGTTCAGTGGCATTTTTCTTGTTAAACAAATGACCATCAATAATCACTGTATTCTCCCAGCCTCCACAAATCTGTTAGGCCTAAATGGTGACTTCAGGTTGCTGGATTACATTTCATTTCATTATTTCATGAGCTATGATCAGAGAAATGAGGTTTACACTAAGCTTAAATCTTAAAGGGAAGTGCTTTTTTATGTCAGACTTAGCATTTATAGGGCCCTCTTTAAAAATAAAATAATTATCCATTCTGCTAGGAAACTAACCTCTGGCACTTTGGTAAACATGTTTACATTATTTCAAAAATAACAGTACTCAGTTGAAAATTAATGACTGAGTGCTCTGGTTGCTGTAAGTCAGCAAGATACGAAGAAGGCAAAACTCATGGTAGTTGCTCTGTGTATCACAGTGGCAAGACTCTTAAAAGTAATTTATTCTTAAAATGGAGTAAAATGCTACTGTAACTTTTACTCTGTTTAAAATAAACGTGCTAATAAAAACCTGAAGATGAGATATAATTAATAGTTCTATGAAATGTGCTGCCGTGTGTGATATCAGGGCTGTACAATATTAATTCCTTACGTTTGGTCTGCTTCTAAGATGTTCATCAAGTGGGGTGATAATCTTTATCTGGGACAGGTGAACTCTGCCAGTATCTTCTCCCTTTTGGCATTCCAAGTAATTATTTTCCGCCTGCTTCAGCAGCACAAGTACGTCCCCACACTGTAAGGTACAATACCACTCTCTGAAGCAATTATTATTTAATAAAACATTATTACTTTTTCCACATTTTAATCTTTGGAGCCTACAGCATTTAATAATGTGTAAAGTGGTAACAGAGGCCAGCCACTTTTTACATGAGTCAGTGAAGAAAGATCTCTACTTTACCTTACAGGAGAGCTCTCCGGGGTTTTGTGAGACGATGTCTTCATTGGCAATTCCATGAGGCACAGACAGCTTAAATGTGAACCAGTAAAAGGATTATTCACAATCAAATTAGCTCCTCATAAACTGCTGGTCATTTGGGGATTTGGCATGTGTGCCTACAGTGCAACTTCTCCAGCAGTGAAACTCTTGGCTTGGCTTCCTCCAGCTCTAGATCTAGTGGGGCCTGCCATCATTCATGGATCCTAAAGTCCTTGGGGATATGGAGTTGAGCCCATAGGTCCACAGCAGCTGAATGTGGCCTCAAGTTCCCTTTAACAAGCACAACCAGGGAGTTCTATTCTAGAGGACAAGGTCCAACAAGTCCCTTGAGCGTTTGAAAGATAAATACTCAGCACCTGACCTCACAGCCTGTTATGCACGTCTTTAATTCAGGGTTCTCAATGGCTGCCTTCTAAACCCTGATCGGGGGGCCGGCCCCGTGGCCAAGTGGCTAAGTTCGTGCACTCCACTTTGGCAGCACAGGGTTTCTCCAATTTGGATCCTGGGCACAGACATGGCACTGCTCATCAGGCCATGCTGAGGCAGTGTCCCACATAGCACAACCAGAGGCACTCACAACTAGAGTGTACAACTATGTACCGGGGGTCTTTGGGGAGAAGCAGCAGTAGGGGAAAAAAAGATCGGCAACAGTTGTTAGCTCAGGCGCCAATCTTTAAAAAAAAAAAAAACGGCTGATAGGGGACTGGTGCCTCCCCCGTAGTGCTTGACTGACTGCTTCCGTTTGCCTTGAATCTCATCTTCTCCTGGAGTCTCTCTGATACCAAGTGTCCACTCAAGCCCATTTCACTGCCTGACCCCAGTCCCTTCCTGATCCACTCAGCTCTGTCTGATCTTAGAATGGCTTTTATCCATCCCCCACCCTGGCCAGGAGACTCTGTTCTCTGCCCTGGGAAATTCTGATGAGTGCAGGTCAAAAGGGCCTACACAATGAAAAAGGCATATCCAGGAAACATGATCACACAAGCTCACTTCCAACAAGGAAAGGGAGGCAGCCTAGGCCCTCTGATCACTCAGGATCAACGAGGCAGAGTGCAAGGGTGTGGCCCTGTGAGGCTGGGCAGGGTGCTGCTGCTTCCCAGCATCTCGGTCAGAGTCCCAGGGCTCCCAATGTACCCAGATTCCTGGTTAGCAATTTGATGGTAGGGTAGCCATGGAAAAAATGAGGGCTTTAAGGATTTATTTCATAACATAGCACTCTAACATACCATCATTTTGAGATTATTAATTTCTTTCAGTTATTCAAATGCTTTATTGACATTATACAGCTATGCTAAGAACCACAGGCAAAATCTGGTTCCCCCTAAATGAGGCTCTTAACATGGAACAGCCAAATCAAGCAGAGAATTTACAACTAGTAACACTATTTTCATAGTTTGGCTTAATGGTTAAGAGCATGGGCTCAGAGCCGGTTGATCTGCGTTCAAATCTTGACTCTATCATTAACTGGATTTGTGACCCTGGACCATAACTTAATCTCTGTGTTGTATCCTCCTCATTTGTATAATAGAGACAGAAATAATATCTACTTCACAGGGTTTGTATGAGGAATAAATGAGTTATTTAATATATATAAAGTGCTTTGAACAATGCCTGGATCATAATAACTACTCAACACATCAGCCACTGTTTTTATTTATTTATTATTTTTAAGTAACATGGCCCAAAGAATTGGGTTTTAGCAATTAAAATTTCATCAGTTTAAATAAATGTGAATATACATGAACATACTACCTCCTTCTTATCTGTCTATACCCTTCTTTTAGGAGAATTTAAAAAATATGAAATGGCTTAAGAGAAAATTTCTGGCTCAATGACGGAATTGTAGAACAATATAAAATTATCAATTACTGTTCTCATTAAGAGCTACTGCTATACAACTGTTTAAAAACTGCACACGGTCCTGCTATCCTTATCATTTTTATTTGTTCTAGATTTTATCAGGTTAACCTGACCAAAGTAGAGAGAGCACATCCACTCTGCTTTCAAATGTGGGAAATGGAGACAAAGGTTTAAGGTCATATGATGAGAAAAACATTCAAAGAGAACAAAATTAATAATTATTGATGAAAACTTCTAACTGGTAACTATTAAATGGACCAAGAAGAGGGAAAAATGAGGGCCAAACCATCCATCTTAACAAGAACTTTCTTTCTACTTCATTTTAAATTTTACTCTGTGGGCAAGGTAGCTATAAAATATAAACTATATTAAGATATAAACTATAATATCTGTCACAGTTACTCCCATCAGTAAATCTACTGGGTGAGGTTTTTCAGTGTTTCTGTTTGGTCAAGCCAGACAGCAAGTCACAATTCTGTCTGCCCTGCTTCCTTTTCCTATATTTCTCCTAATAATAAAACCCTGCTTTAAAGACCTAGGTGTTTTTGGGTTTTTTTTAAGAGTTTGAAGATAAATTTTTTTTTAGTTCATAATAGTTTACATCAATGTGAGATTTCAGTTATACGTTATTTCTTGTCTGTTACCACATAGGTGCTCCCCTTCGGCCCCTGTGCCCACACCCCACCCCCCATCCCCTGGTAACCACTGAACTGTTCCCTTTGCCCATGTGTTTTTTCATATTCCACATATGAGTGAAATCATATGGTGTTTATTAAAGACCTAGGTTTTATTATGGCCTACTTATCTAAAGCTCTCTTAGCATCAAGGGGTAGTTCCACATTTGTCTCATGATCTTTTTCTAGGGACTAATGGATCTTATATATACTTTAGAAGAAACCTCTTGACCACAAACATTTTTAAAAGCTAAATTTACCATGTATTTCCTGTAGAGAGGGTGTCCTGGTTTGGGGCGAGGGGGCAGCACCGGCTCTTGATTTTTAAAGACTTGACTCTTGGCTTTTGAGAGTCCAGATGCCAAGTTACTTTGTTTTTTCTGAAGATCCATGTCAGAAGAAGACCGATTAAAAGGTAGTTTTTTACTTGATGTTCTGGTTGCAGAAAGTTTGGGGGGAGGTGGTCTCTCAGGGGCCCCTTTGGGAGGAGGCTGTCGAGCTGGTATAGCTTTTCCATTTGCAGGTCTGAAAGCCAGTGCGGTAGCTGTGAGTCAGTGTTTGTCAATATTAGGTTCTGTTTTGTCCTTTCTCACTCTCTCACTTTCTCTCTCTCTCTCTCTCACACACACACACACAGAGCTCTCTGCTAGTGTAACACAATTTATTGAAACATGCAGGGTATGCTCTTTTTCAACAAATGACTGCTGCATTAAACATTATATTATTAGAGGAAATGCCATGATGTTCCAGCTCCCTCTTATCTTGCACTAGAGATTCATTAGTTCAAGACAAACAAGCATTTACTACCATGAGCTCTCTAACGCCCCATTTGCTCTTAAACACACCATAACTGTTTCAGAACACTAAGCACTTTCTTCCAAAGTCTGAGAAGAAAAAATTATAATAAGACAGCAGGTATATGTGATGGGGGCTTATACACGATTAGAAAAGGAACATCAAACTCCCCTAATACTTGTGTTAGAGGAATTATTATTAAAACTCTAATTTACATTAATATAAAGAAAGCAAGTTCTGAAAATGGGATAGAACAACTATTAATCTGAAAGCCGTTCCTTAATTCCTATGATAAAAATAATTTCCAACCTAGTAACATCTTCTGATAGCATCACAGCTTTCTGTTCCAATGGCCCTGGAATTCAGGAGGGCAGATAACCTCTGCGCTCAAAAACCTGTGTCTCCTTTTGGAAATGCCAAAAACCAGCCTGGTTTCTCATAATGAGGGGAGGGAGAGAGAGAGAGACGGAAAGAGTGTGAGTGTGAGTGTGTGTGTGTGCGCACGCATGTGTGTGTATGTGTATTCATTCCTGAAGAGGAATTGTTTTAGGTTTAGAAAGGAGTCTCATTCATTTGTCTGAGGAAAAATAATAGAGATTCATATTTGTGCTCTGGGAGTTTCTGGATTGCGTTAAAAGAACAAAGGAGCAGAGATTCCTACAACTTTCTGTCAGAAGCAGGCTGTAGGCTAGTGGCCTGGGTGAATTCATGAGTTTAATGTATCTCTAAAAGAAGATCTAAGGCCAACAACACTCAGTTTTGGTGACAGAAAAGAGAGTCCAGTCTCTGAGTGAGTAGTTTTTAAGCTTTCCCACTGACTCACCTTGGTGGCAGCCTGGGGGGTCCCCGCACAGAGCCTCCTGTTTGACCAGTGTGGTCGGATTCCTGCAAGTATCAGAGGATGCTTTTTAGTGAAGGTGAATCTGAAACAAGAGCTTGTCAAGAGGAATTATGGACAACTTTTTGGCTGGATCTATAGGTGGAAATCAGCTGAGTCACAGAAAGTAGCTTAAAAGAGCTTTTAGTCTTAAGCCATGTTAACTCATTACTTGCTCCTACCTAAATTGCCCGTGTCCTAAAACAAGTGAAAACAGAGAGGAGGAGACCAGGGGCTCTGCTGTTGTGGACCAACAACAGCCTATCCAATTCCACTGTATGGTTATGCACCCAGCAGTTCGTGAGGTATTAAGGACGATGTCTAAATCATGATAGCTTACACAGTAGCAATTTAAGCAGCCACTGTAGGGCATTAAAAAAATATATGGCCTTTATTTTTCCTATGACAACACATAAGATGTATGCTGCTCCTAACTTTAAACACATAGTAAGTGAGGAGGTGATTAGTTTGTTTTGCTTCAAACAGGCAGATCTCTCATCACTGAATGGTTTATACATTGTGCAGTGGGTTTTGAACCAGAAGGGGGTGGGAACATATAAGCAGCTTAAGGATGGCCTGAAAAGAAGGCATGTGAAGAGGATTACAAAGAGCCCAAGAAAGCAGAGAGCTTGTACCACTACAGCAAAGGGGTTAGACGAGCTAAGAGTTTTGTAGGAAAGAGTAAAGAAGGATAAAGTGAAAAACAAAAGATTGGTAGAGTTAGGGGGCCAGCCTGTGGCCAAGTGGTTAAGTTTGCATGCTTCACTTCGGCGGCCGACGGTTTTGCCAGTTCGGATCCTGGGCGCAGACCTATTACCACTCATCAGGCCATGCTGAGGCGGCATCCCATATAGCACAACCAGAAGGACCTACATTAGAACATACAACTACGTACTGAGGGGCTTTGGGGAGAAGCAGCAAAAGTTAAAAAAAAAAGATTGGCATCAGATGCTAGCTCAGGTGCCACAAAAAAAGATTGGTAGAGTTAGAATGTTTTAGCCTAATAGCAGATGAGAGAAGTTGGAAGTGTGGAGACCAGTAGGAAGATTTCTCCAGGGGAAGGGATTCAAACTGTGCCTTTTAAATAGATCTTCTGAACACGTTATAGCCCAAGGTTTGGGAAGTGAGTATAATACACGGAAAATATTTTCAGATCTTCTGTTGAATGAAAAGTTAAAGGATCCCAAAGCCAAAACTTCTGCTTTTGTAGGGAAAACTCTCACTAAATTCTGCTAATCCTGAGTCTCCTTTTTCTCACCATTCTGCTTTCTAAGCCCCCAACAGTGACATCCAGAAAATAACATTTCTTCAAGACGTCATGACGGGAAAAATGCCAGCCCTTTACAATTACACTGCCGTTTTTTTTTTTTTTATAAAGGAGGTTTAACTGTAGCTTGGGAATCTCTGGGCTACTTCAGACTGCTTCCCTCCTTCTCATCTTATCAATGAGTCAAAACTCACTTCCATGGCTTTTAATTCAAACTGAATATTTACAACTTTTCCTTAAATACCAAATGATTAATTGCCTATAATTGCAATCATTTAAAATGTTTCAATGTTTTAAAATCCTATTTTTAAAAAGAATTTAATCTTGCCCTTAAAACTTGGTTTCACTAATGAGTTCAGTTAATGTAGCAAGTCACCAGCTCATAAACCCTGCAATATTCTAGACTATAATCTATGCCTTACAAATAATGCTGTTGCCTATATTTCCCCTTGACAAATACCGCTACGATACTTGAAAAACTCATTTATTTCTTTGGCCATATCTAAAATTAAAACAAACAAACACATGGAAAAACATTCTAGCAGATAGACAGGAACTTTTATCGCTTTTCTCAAAACTATAGTTGTTAGATACCTTAATAATTAAATAAGTAGTGTTCTCTAAGTAGTGTTATTTTTATGGGGAATCTTACATATCTTTTTAATTTCCCAACTTTCTACAATGAGCAGATTTTAAACCAGAAAAACAAAAAGGCAGTATACTCAAATCGGCCAGGAATGTTAGGCATGCTCTGGAAGGCCCTGCTTTATCTGACACACTTCAAAAACTGAGAACAAGAGATTGGTTCCTGCAGAAGCAACTGTCTTAGCGTTTGCTCAAGTCCAGGTTTGTGCACAGGTTCTGCCGACAGTCTTTGGAAGATCACTGATTAGGGATTTCCTCCTCTTCGATATTCCACACATAACTAGACCCTCTCTGCAACTGCTTTTTGTAGTTTTTCTCTAGCTTTGACATCCCTGAACTTTGGCTTTTGATGTGTTTGGATACACATTTTAGTTCCTGGTGAAGTTGGGTTTTCTGCTTGTACTGTCCCTACAGATGCCGTCTCTTTGTTCATCTGTTTTGGAATGGTTTCTTTCTTTTTTTTTTTCACAAGGGAAGAATCACCCCAGGCTAACATCTGTTCCCAATCTTCCTCCTTTTTTCTTCTTTCCCCCTACCCCACCGAAGCCCCAGTACATAGTTGTGTATAGTTGTAAATTCTGGTTTTTTGATGTGAGCCACTGCCACAGCATGGCTACTGACAGACAAGTGGTGTAGTTCCACACCCGGGAACCGAACCCAGGCCGCTGAAGCAGTGTGTGCTGAACTTTAACTGCTAGGCCATCAGGGCCGGCTCTGGAATGGTTTCTTATATTCTAATTTCAAAATAATTCCTCAGTTTTTTGCTGTATTTTCAAGACAGATATTTCTTCCAGGACCACATTCTTGTCTGTAGGAATTACTGAGCAGCCTCTACAGATGTTTCTTCTGTTCTTTCTCCAAGAACTGGTACCACTTCTTATGTCCTGAATTCAATACCCAGCTTCTGTGCTATAGCCTTGATTCCTTATACATACTTGGCAGTGTCTCCTGACTCTCCTCCTGTACTGCCTGGCAGCCTTTGTGCCTGGCTTTGGCAGCCTTGGGTTCCCACAGTGGACAATACGGCACACAGAAGTGTCTGCTCCTGGGGCCGGCCTGGTGGCACAGCAGTTAAGTGCACATGTTCCACTTCAGTGGCCTGGGGTTTGCCGGTTCGGATCCCAGGTGCGGACATGGCACCACTTGGCAAGCCATGCTGTGGTAGGCATCCCACATATAAAATAGAGGAAGATGGGCACAGATGTTAGTTCAGGGCCAGTCTTCCTTAGCAAAAAGAGGAGGATTGGCAGCAGATGTTAGCTCAGGGATAATCTTCCTCAAAAAAAAAAAAAAAAAAGAAGCGTCTGCTCCTGCTGACTGAATGGCTCCAGTGGCTCCTGATGTTCTTTATCATTTAAGCGAAGAAAGTGAGATTTCACAACTACAGCCATCTTGTCCTGAGATGGAAAGTTCTCCAGCACTCAAGGCAGGAGAAAGAGTAGAGGTTTTTGTCCTGTGCCTCATCAGAAGACACAGTTGGCAAAGACCATGCCTATCCTTGTGGTCATTACACTGGTGAAATATTCTTTCTAGAGATCCTCACCCACACCAGAAGCCTTTATGCTCTGGTCTGAAATTCATTCAGTAACTGTCACTTTCAAACAAAAGGAATTTCTCAGGCATAGATTTGACTTTCTGGCCCTGGAAATCTGTATGTGTGACTTCAGCCAAATCATTTAACTTGTGGTCTGTTTCTCATCTCTTCTTCCTTCAGAACCAGTGTGTCTATTATGATATGTATTTATTACAATTTAGCACAGAATGCTTTGACCCCCCTCCCTTCGTAAACAGTGTAGGACAGGATTTTCCTCATGTTGTTCACGTGAGGTACAAACAATTATGAATATAGTACCTCTCCAGATGCTTTAGTTTATTCTACCTTCCTTTTCTTGTTTTTCTAAAATGGGGGAGTTGCTTTGTGGACTGCTTAATACCAAATGTAATAATACACAGTATTTTAATAGACCTTTGTGGTTTACAAAGCCCATTATATGACTTAATGAATGTAATACATGCCTACTCATCATCCTCTCACTCTCTTTTACAACCCTTTAGAGTAGAAGCCACGAATCTCTTCAAGTAACTGTTCTCTCATGGAAATATGGGGTTTTCCTACTCAACAACAGTATGGTAGGGGCCCTATCGTCTTCTTCTTTTGGGCTTTCTTGGCCCAGTTTTAATAAAAATTTATTACCAAGTACTTTGAAAATGCAAGTGATCACTAAATTTTAATTCAGCTTATAGGAAAATCTCATTAACTTGATATTGGCTAATTCAATTTAATGTCTCCTTCAAAGCAATTTCTCTTCACTAGATGATTAGATGAGTTTGCATGTATAAAAAGCATAGTTAATACACAATGTAAAACTATTATGAAATTTTAACTGAAAATTTGATTCAGACTTTAAGAATTGGTTTCTTTTGAAACAAACCTTAAAGACAATCTATCCTATGGGAATTTCAAAAAGGATGGTATTGAGGTTGAAAGCAAAAAAAAAAAAATACATATATATATATATATATATATATATATATATATATATATATATGTATTTAAAACTCTTTGACCACCATCTGTTAACAAGTAAATGGTAAAGCTCTATTATTTTAAATAAAAAAATAATTTTTCCCTAAATTTCAGATTAACAAATTCTTATGGTAACTATCTTAAAATTATGTCACTAATTGGCTATTTTAAATAAAAACTGATAATTGAACCAAATCTATTTCCACAAATGTTAAAGACTTTTAGAGATTTTCAGTAACTTCCTCATTATTAGTGCCATTTAAAAGACAATGCCATTATATCAGTACAGGACAAATTATTTCATGATGAAGTACAATGAAGTGGCCAAATTCTTTTGTTCTACAGGGATTTTTTAAATATTGAACATCACATTAAATGGGACTTAGAAATTGGTTTCTAATAAAGGTATTTTTAAATCTGACCAACAGTAAAATAATTAAGACATTAGTTGAGCATTTAGAATTAGTGCATAGCTTGGTCTTCGACCTAAGGCAATCTATAATAACGACTTACCAAGTTTCTATTTCTGTCTACATTACTGAGTTTTCCAGATCCTGTACTGTAAGTGTTTCCAATAGGTTTTTCAGAAGGTAGAGGAGGTGGGCTTTGTGGATCCTCATGTAAACCTAGAAAAATAGTAGTAATTCATCAGTAATTTCTAGTCTTTGGGGATTCCAAAGGATGAAGTGATTGCAACTTGGTTCCTTAGGAAAATGGCTATCATAAAAGATCCATACAAAGAATAGATAGCTAACCAAATGAGAAAGAATTCCCAGTTAACCTCAGAAATGTGATGGGTTAGTATGCAGTTAATTTTACTGACTGTTTTCTAGGAAGGAAAAGTAATCCTAAATAATTACAACAGCAGCCAGCATTTTTAAGAACCTTCTATGTGCCAGGCATTAAGTTAAAGCACTTTATTTATATACATTTCTCCAACCAACATCTATCTATGTGCCAGATCTGCACAGTCCACCAGCTAGTAGCCACGTGTGGCAATCTAAACTTAAATCTTAATTAATTAAAATTAAATAAAATTAAAATTTCTGTTCCTCAGTTGCGCTAGCCACATCTCAAGTGCACCATAGACACATGTGGCTAGTGACTACCATATTGGGCATTTCCATCTTTGCAGAAAGTCCTATTGGACAGCACTACAGTGCTAGATAACATCCTACTCATTTTACAGATGAAGAATCTGACAATAAATATCCTATTCATTTTATAGATGAAGAGACAGATGAAGCTGAGAAGAAAATAAATGAGCTATCCAAGATCTTAATGCTAGTAATTGTCAGATCCAGGGTTTTGAACCCCAAACTCATTTATAATGAGTTAACTTAATGCCTTAACTTAATGCCTGGCACATAGAAGGTTCTCAAAAATGCTGGCTGCTGTGGTAATTATTTAGGATTACTTTTACTTTCTAGAAAACAGTCAGTAAAATTAACTAATGTCTACTAACCCATCACATTTCTGAGGTTAACTGGGAATTCTTTCTCATTTGCTCAGCTACCTATTCTCTGTATGGATCTTTTATGATAGCCATTTTCCTAAGGAACCAAGTAAAGCTTATCACATAAGGCATGCTGCTTCTTAATAGGTGGTATATCCAACCCTCCCCCATCCAAATAATTAAATGTGTTTTCTAATTCATTTGCTTCAGATTAATGGACTTCACTGCCCTCAATTTAACAAACAATATCTTTACATCCAAACTACATCCTTAACTCAGTGATAGTGCACCCTCAACTTATTAAAATAAACAACAACAAAAAAACTCCACAGATGGCTAGATTTAATTAGTGACAGCTAATTAAAATCTGTGTGCAAATACACTTGGAGAGAGGATGATTGTGGCATACTAAAAGAGGCGAAAGCCACCTTCTACACACTTTTAGGCATTTAAAGGAGATGGGAATTTTTCTCATTCTTTCAAATGAACACACTCTGCTTCCATTTCACATGAAAAACCTGTAACAAGAGGATGAGTTGTCAGGTTCCCGTTTTATCCACAGACAGGAAAGCACTCTCAAAAGGAGGAAAATGGTTCCCGTTTTATCCACAGACAGGAAAGCACTCTCAAAAGGAGGAAAATACTCACGCAGGCTACTAGGAAACCAATGATTTAGAGACAGGCAAGCCTTCTTAGTGAGAGGCAGGCCTGCTCTGGGAATACAGACACAAACAGGAACATTCCATCTCAGTGGCCATCTTGAAGACTTTCTCTGTGCTGCAGGTTCCTTATTCTTACAAGGAAACATGAATCATTTGGATATAATACCGTCATGACAAACAACTAGGGGTACAAAGTGGTAATAATACGAAAGTAGAGAGGAGATAGTTTACTGGCAGAAAGGGACATAGGGATTAACCACTGTGGGTGTGTGGGGAAGATGGAGATTTCCAATTTCAAATAATGTGGTCAGTGGAGGTCTTAACAGAAAAGTGGCATTTGAGCGAAGACCTGAAGGAATGGTGAAGGAGGCAGCCAAGCAGATATCCTGGAAAAGGACATCCTAGTCTGAAGAAACAAGTCCCGAGATGAAGGAGCTGACAGGTTCAAAGAAAAGCAAAGAGGTTTGTACCACAAAGCTGCTCCTTTCTTCCTTTGTCCCTTCCAAGTTCTTCAGACACCAAAAGGCTTACTTTTTTTTCTGTACAGCATATATGCATTGCTCAATAATTGAAATAATAAAATTCCAGGGAACTGGTTTTTGATATAAACAGAAATAACTCTCCAGAAACTGGCACTTTATTTCTCTCACATATAGCAGTACAGAATTCAACTTTCTAATAGTTCCTGAACCTTTGTCAGGATAATAAATAAAGGTGCTTCCTCAATATATCCTTTTTAGGATTTCAGGACTATTAATCCAATTTATAAGTGTGCAGAAAAGAGTAGACATAGCAGGCCTGAGACCGCTTATCCTTAGACAGGCCTGCTTACAAGACTTGTCCTTGTTGGCATCTGGAAACTTGGCCTTCAGGAAGATTCCCACTATTCCCAGAACTGATAAAACAAAAGAATATGGTTTATGCTGAACACCTGATTTCCTTCTAGAAGTCTTGAATTTTGGCACATGAGGTGCCTATGTGACCAGCCCCCACTAAAAACCCTGGGCACTGAGTCTCTAATGAGCTTCCCTGGTTGACAACAATTCACACATGTTGTCACAACTGGTTCCTGGGCGAGTTAAGTCCTCCCTCTGGGACCCTGCTGGGAAAGGAGGCCCAGATGCTGGTCCAGGTTTCCTCCAGACCTCGCCTCATGCACCTCTGCTGATTTTTCTTCGTATACTTTTGCTGAAATAAATCACAGCCGTGAACACAACTATATGCTAAGTCCCGTGAGTCCTCCTAGTGAGTCATCAAACCTGGGGGTCTTGGGGACCCTGGCACAAGAAGAAGAATAAAGTTAGTTATAAAAGTTGTATTACTTAAAACCCACATGAGCTTCAGGCAATGTTTATCACCATTATATCTCACTATGCCTGTTTTAATCCAGAATACATTTAACAAGGAAAGAGCAAGCAGGCAAACAACCCAATGAGCTATCATTTCACTGATTTGCGGGCTATATAATGTTGTGAAAAGAAATACACCACAAGTTCTTTAATCTAACACTACCATATAACCTCCTAAGAAGCTAGAAAGCACCAGAATTTGGTACCCTTGACTTTTTCTCCTCATTCTTCATAGCAACTCAGTTCAATCTTCTTGATACTTGGCTTAAAGCCATCAGTTAATAACAAAACCATCAAAAGACTAAACCCAGTGGGATCCTTCTGGGTAGTATCTTGTAGGGAAACCAAACCCCTAAACTTAAGAGGTTTCATGGCATTCCAGGGTATGCCTGCAATGTAATCCTGGGATGCTATAGGCGAAGGACTTGGACACTTGCTCTGCTGTTAGGAGGAATGGAATGGCGGAATCTCTTGTTAGACAAAGGCAAAGATGCATCTGGGCCATGCAAAAGCATTGAATGAAAGGAAATGAAGCAGAGGCTCACAGGGAAAGCTGTGTGATCACTCTAAGCAATGCCAGGAACTGCTCTGGAACCCACTGCATGCTCATGCATACACACATGCATATACACACACATGCTTTGACTCACACTTTTTAATAATCTCTGGGGTCTAAAATAAATAGTTCTGGCTCTCTTGGCTTCTCTCTTACAATAAATATCAGATATCTTTGCAGTACTTATTAAAGCTCATAAAAAATTTCATTTATTGCACCATTAAAAAAAATCAAGTAAAGAAGTATAGAGGAATATAGTGTTACACTAATTTAAAAAATATTTTTATACATTGTTACATGTTTTTGTAACATGTGGTTACCACTCTTCACACAATTCACACATAGCGGTCCGCAGATTATGCAGATTGAAATAATATACTCCTGATAGACATATACAACTTCATCTGCTGTCAGTTTCAATTACTTTCCTACCATCTTTCCTAGAGGCACTAACACAGGATACCACATTATTATGATTTTCAGTCTCCTTCTATTCTCTCTGCCTAAAGACAACTGAAATCCAAATTTACTGTACTAATTGTCTAAAGAATTACGAAAAAACAACTTGCTTTTAAATGTCTTTGACTATAATAATAACAAATGGATGATTACACGTAAGTTCAAAAGTAGTCGATAAATTAGCATACATTTCCCCCAGGCGCTCAGAGAGGCGAATAAAGAAGGCAGAGAAGTGCTTACATTTTCCTGGTTTGGCTGGAATTCGAATCACAGTGGGCTTCCTGGTGGGCGCTGGTTGCACTGCTCGTTCTTTTGTTGGTTCTGTTTTTGTGGGGAGCTGAAAGGGATCTAATGAAAAACACAGTTTATTTTGTGTGTTTTAGTTAACACGGACTCAAACAAAAAACCTCATTCATAATTAAAGAGTCATATTTTTCATGCCCCAGGGAAAACTGTTCACGGATAAACAAAATCTCAGTTTGCAGAGACAAAAACAGAGTCGGAGCTCATGAAAGGAAATAACTCGGCGGTCTGTAAATAATTCATATGGCTTTTCTTCCTCTCTGAGAGAGACGCAGTACAATCCTGAATTATGTAAAAGCTATCTTTCATGGGAATGTAATCATTTCATAAGTGTCTGCCTGAAAATGAGGGGCAATTGAAAGGAGGAGTCAATTTCCCCCCTGTTGTGAAGCTTCCCAGATCCCAGATCCAGCAAGGAAGGCCTCTTCTCCACGACACTCCTGTGCCTGGACTGGAAAACTTATCCCCAGGGCTCATCAAGGGCCCTCATCCTCCCCAGCACCGTGCTTGGCACAGGGTGGGTGCTCAGCAGTCTCGAATTTAGTAGTTTAGTAAAACTACATTTCAGTAACATGGAAATGAAAAATGTTTTATCCTGGAAATAAAATAACACATCTCCCTTTAAATATTTAATTTTGGGGCAAGGATATGTGACTCAGCATTTCTCCATCTTAACTGATTCATTTAAAATGGACAGTATATACTAAGAGTAAGTATTTTAAACAAATGCATAACCACCCAATTTTTCATGAAAGAAATAAGTCCTTTTTTCTTTAATGTAAATGCTCTTTTCAGTAGTTTGGAAAAATGACCATAATTTTTTTTTTTTTTTTGCTGAGGAAGATTTGCCTTGAGCTAACATCCACTGCCAATCTTCTTTTTGTATGTGAGCTGCCGCCACAGCATGGTCACTGACAGATGAGTGGCGTAGGTCCACGCCTGGGAACTGAACCTAGATCGCCAAAGTGGAACATGCTGAACTTAACCACTAGGCCACTGGGGCTGGCCCCATAAAATTTTTAAAAGATGAGAAATCTGAAAATAATCAGATTAGTAAAATAAAATAAAATGCTGTATAATGGATACCCTATATAGCACACAGGATCTCAGGAGGCCACCTTTGCCTTTAGTCAACAAAACACAGAATGAGTACATGCTGTAATTCTGTACCTGTTCCACAGATCTTCCCTGTAAGGAGATACTCCCTGTACAACAATGCGTTCATGGCTCCCATGATGAACAGCACTCATGTTCTGCCTGTTAGAAGCTACAGTTCAGTAAGTACCTTTTGCTGACCAGCTCTTTTCAGGATATATGAAGAGCTGAGCTAAGGATAAGAAGGCCTTTCAGTTCCCTGATACCTCCCCTTCCCTTCCAACCAGCTCTCAGGCAAGCCCACAATCACATATCCTACCAGAGGCATCACTCACTCACTAGTCACTTGCTCATATACTATGTCTATCATATGCCAGTAACACTGCTGGGTGGGGAGATAAGACGGTACAGTACAATCCTATTTTGAGTTTATTATCTACCACCTAAGAAGGCCCCCCGGGTGGCATGCTAGAATTATTGTTAGGTTACTGAGAAAAAAAACCCTAGATGAGCCCTCTATGGAAACCTGTCTATCAACTCGCAAGTGAGGTAAGTCTTGTCTAAGTTCAAAAAACCAACTCAAAATTATCAAAACAATACCAAACTTAAAAAAAAAAAAGGCTCCTGTAATAATATAAGTTTCTTCCATTGTAACCTATGTCTTCACAAAACAAATAAACAAAGCTGCTTCTTTTAGGTCTAACCAAATTCTTTAATTCCTTATTTTTTTATAACATTATTTTTTACCTCAAAAGTAATATTTATTGTAAAAATGGGAAACATTAAGAAATATATAATAGGAATCTCCTGTAATCCCATCCCTCCAGCGATAATTATTAGCTAAAACCTGGTGTATCTGTCTACAGATTTTTCCCCCTATATTACATGTATTATTATGTAGGTATTTTGAAAAATGAAAATCAGGATCATTTTATATCCACTTCTTTGTAATTTCCTTTTTCACTTTTGTTCATTCAGTATTGACTGAGTGCCTGCTACACATCAAATACTATTCTAAGCGCTGGGAAACTTCAGCGAACAAAGCAGAGAATTCTGCCCTTATGGCACTTACCTTCCAGTAGGGAGATGGAGACAATAAACATAATAGATAAGTAATTCAGGGGGTATATTAGAAGGTGAGACATACTATTGAGAAAAGGAAAAAGTAGAGCAAGGTGAGGAAGTTCAGGTGTGGGCAGAAGGGAAGAGGGTGCAGCATGAAACAAGTGCAGGGGGCAAGGAATGGGAGGGCTCCACGACCATCTCTCCAACAAGTGGATTTTCCATATTCTAGTAACTCTTCCAACTTGAATAACATTCATCAGGTCTTTAAGAAACAGCAGTGCCAATGGATAAAAAGGGGTAGGTATACTTGTATTAAAGCCCATTATTGCAAATATTACTGGAATCTGAACTCCCCAAATGGTTCACCTGTTCTGAGTAATGTTAACTAAAACGAAAGAATCTGAAGACTCCATGTAATCTCGACATACATTTTATTCAAACACAGAAACATAGTATCTGTCTGCTTCACGCATCTTTCCCTTCTGTTCATCTCTCTCCCCCCTGCCATTGCCTCTGCTCTGTCCTCGTTGGAACCTACTGACCTCCAAGGAGCCACCTTCTTTCCCGCTGCTGCTGCAGACACCTGACTGCTTAGGAACTTGACCATGCTCCCTCCCCTCAATCTTGTTGTAATATCCTGTTCTTTCAGGGCTCTGTTTTCTGCTGGGAAAAGGACCAAAAATTCAAGACAAGGATTAAGGCTGATCATGGTAGTGCACTGTGTTCTACCTTTCAAGCAGCATTCTGCTTTAACAGCTGCTTTTGGTGCCTATAATCTGCTGGGTTTTAGCTGATTTCTTTGGGTGGGTGTGGAGGCGGAAGAAAATCTTGAGCATAGAATGACTTCAATTGTTTCCCAACTCATATTAAATTCCGGGCCAGTATACCACCTACACTCTCACATTCCAGGAGCGAGGGCACCAATAACGGGGGCGGGGAAAGGAGAAAAGAGGCCAGACAGTGCCCTTGCAGGGCTGGGCACAAGGGGCACCCAGCATGTGCTTGCTGTTGGAGGACTGGCCACAGGGAACCCTGCCCCCAATGCCACACACTGCGCAGCGATCTCACCTGTCGCATTAAAGAGTCCAGACATCTTTTTTTTTTTTACTCGGAAGGATTTACATTGAAGTAGCATAGATACAACTTAAATACAAAGTATTCAAAGTGTCCTAGCTATCCACTCTCTTTCTCTCTTTTTTGGTCTTTATTTTTAATATTGTTAGCTGTTCTTTAATAACCGGCACTCACATCATGTGTAATTAGTCTACTATACATGTCTCTGGAAAAAAATTTCTTTCTCAATACAGTGAAGCAAGGAAGTCTTAGTGTTCCAGCACTGCGGGCTGTTTGGCAGGAGTGGGTCTGTCTAATGACCTACCCCAGCTGTGCTCACTGAGTCAGTGAGCTCGGCATCTGCCTCTGTCTGCATGCTGGCCCGGGCTGTAATCCAGACCAGGCGTGCAGATGAGTGGGGAGGACAGGCAGCAGCACTTCAGTGAGAAGGTGGAGCCAGAGGCCTGTTTTTCATCTTGATGATCGTGTACGAGTCTCTCTAGCTACACAGTACGAAGTTTACTTTTTACGTCTTTTCATCAGAGCGGTATTTTTTTTCCAACAGAAATATAAGTGAGCAACATCTACAGCGAGGCTGGTACCTCACGTTTGAGAACTCCAGGCACTGCCAGGTAGGAAACTGGATCACTGGTACTATTAAAATATTTAAAGTCCATAACCTTTGACCCAGAAGTCCTACATTTGGAAATCCAGTCGTGAGAAATAAAAGCACCGGTAGAAGTGAAAATGTTTAGGAGACTGTCTACGGCAGCATTTTTGGTAGCAGTGAAAAAAAAAAAAGCTAAAAAATTCAAAACAAATGCAACAACCTGAATGTCCATAAATAGGGCAATGGTGGGTCAACAATGACACACACACACTAGGGAATATTAGACAGGTGTAAGGAAACAAGGAGTTAGATCTACTGGCCTGGAGAGAAGTCCACAGATCACACTGTTAAGTGAAAACAGCAAGCTGCTCAGTAAAGGGTACAGCATGATAAAAACGTTTGTAAAAAGCAGGAAAAAGTACAGGCATGTGTACATATTTGTAAGCTTTGGTTTGGAATGTCCAAAGACACAGAAGGCTACAGACACACTGCTCACAGTGGTTACTTGGGGGATTTAGATGGACTGGAGAGAGATTAATTTTTTGTCTTTTACTAAATGTCTGTATTGACTTCTTACAGCAAATATATGTTACTTTGCAACTGAAAATAAATCCAATAAGATAAATTTAATCACAAGAAAAGTTATAAGATTAAGCTGAATTAACATTCCTGCCAAACAAACTAAAACACTTAAAAATAAGGGGAAAAAACAAAAATCCTTGTCCTTTTAGTTGCTTTTTCAAGGCAATAATGGCCATAAAAGTTTCCATAAAGTAACTAGAAAAATAAAACTCTTTTTTTGGATACTATACCCAGGTGATTCTATTTAATAAGAAATAATGCAGATATATATTTTTGGATTTGTCTAACAGACATAATTAGTTCATAATAATCAGCTTTTATTTGTAACCTCGAATAATATAACCTTAGAAAAATCATATTTTATTATTTTTTAAAACTTCTACTCATCGCAAAGCTGAAGATCAGTGTGGAAGGCGGCTCTCTTTCCATAGCAAAGATGACATGAAGTAACTCTCCCAGTTTCTTTCATCCTTCTTCTGCTTATATTTAGCTATTTGAAAACCAGGTTCCCCCATTCTCTCCTGCCGACCCAGTTCCCTTATAAAAGATAAACTTTGTTAACCAACTTTTTATACATCTTTTCAAAGACACTGCATAGTTGTGTGTATGTGTGTTTCAACACCAATAGTAGCTAAAATACCATGAGTAGTATCCATACCTTACATTTTTCACCTAATAGTATCCTGGAGGTTGGTCCATAGTGGGAGATAATAGATGGTTTGCCTCTTTTTTAATTATCGTATAATACTCCAATGTATGGATGTACCATCATTTATTTAAGCAGTCCATTGAAGGTTATTTCCAATATTCTATAGTAAAAGTCCTTAATCTGGGTCCAAGAGTAGGCCCTCAAAGCCCTGGAAATTGTACCACCAATTGTGCATCCATGAGCCAAGGGCTATTTTCAAGGGAGATAAAAGATTCACAGGCTAATCAGATTCTCAGAGTTCTGTGAGCCAGAAAGGGTTAGGAACTGCAGTGCCATAATTCTTTCTATCACAGACTGTTTGCTCTTGTTTCTACAGGAAAAACACAGAGCATGTCCAAAAGAATCTCCTGCCCAAATCTAAGGAAAGTCAACGGCATTTTTCTTTTACTTTTATTTGTAGTATTTATTCTGCCCTCCTTCTAGTCCCTCACACCAACACCAATTGTTCTACGCCTGCTGCCAAACAAGCAGGCCCCTTTACACCTATATCCACATGGTCTTCATTACCGGGTTGAGAAAAACACTGATGATAATGTAGTTTTCTGCCCATTACCTGTCTCTAATAATATGCTTGTCATCATAATTGGTTTCACCATCCTTGGCTTGCTTTTCTGTCATTTCTTTCCCTTGAGTTCTGTTATAGCAAAAAATTGGCTGCTAAACTATTATTCTGGTCTGTGTAATGGGGCTGACAGCAGAAGCATTCTGCTTTTTTTGACAACTGGGTATGATGTGTAAAGGTGTCAAGAGGAATTGCTAATGCTTCTCAGCTCCATTACATTAACCTGGAAGGCATTCTACCCAAGAAATGAATCCATTAAATTGCCTGTTTTATGAGTTTTCCTTTAATAATTTTTCTAATCTTTACAATGTTTTCATAGCTTTGGTATTTTCTGATCTCTATTTCCTGAGATTAATATGGGAACTTCACTTTATGAAAACTATTTTATTAGATTTTCTTTATTTTTGAGGGATGAGAAAGAGAAAGAAAGTATTTGTGAGTTTCTCTCCTTTCTCCTATGTTCCTCTCCCACTTTCTGGCTGATACCAGGACAATTAGGCAAGGTTTCACAAACAGAATATAATCCTTTATTTACAAAGACAATGCTATTAATATAGCATCAAAAAGTCACAAAGCCCAAATAGATAAACAAATGAAAATCTCTTTCTATGTTGGGGAATTCAGAGGTGATCCTGAAGGCCTCTGGAGGTCAATAAGCAACAGGGAAGCAACAAGGTCCAAAGAACAATCTCTTGGGTAGCCATAATATGGACAATGATGGGTGTGAGGCAGATGCAGGGGCTCAATTTAGGAGACAACTGCACTAATCTGGGAATAGAGGCCTAAAGTGAGGCAAAAGCAGGAGAGATGGAAATGAGAGGAAGATTCAAGAACTATTCAGAAGGTAAAACCAGAAGGAGTTAGTAACTAAATGGATGTGAAAGGCAAGAAGTAACAGTAATAATTACTACTTAACAAACACTTAGCATGTTTCAGACAATGTGATAGGGCTTTCCTGCATAATCACATTTAACCTTTGCAATACCTCTAGGAGGAATATTATTATTGTGTTTCATAGATGAGGAAACAGAGGTACTGCCCAAGGTCACAGAGCAATTAAGTGGTGGACCTCGGCCTGTTTGACTCCAAGTCCAAACAACCAGCCACTGTATGACAGGCAGACTCAAGGGTATCTCTCTAGTATTCTCCAGGGAAGGCTGGGTGTGTGATGGTATCACTAGTGAGGTGCAGAATATAGGAAGAGCAGCAGGTTTAGAAAGAAGATAAAGTGTTTAGTTCAATAATACTCCACAGTCAAGAGCAATGGTTAAAGTCAGGTAGGGCAAGCAAATTACATATTTTGCTTAAAGACTGTCCCAATAATTAAACGTTGTGCAATGAAGTGATAGAAATCAAGAAACAGAAAAAGCTGAGTATGAAGCATGAGACTGTATTCATATTGAATGTATACTATTGACCTTCCTTTTTGAAAATGACTGTAATTATCTGCTTGATAACACAGAATAAATTCTCAGCAATTATTAACCAAGTTGCCATCCCCATAGAATCTAGCAGGTTCTACAAAAGGTGATATTTCTTTGCCTTGAACTGTTTTCACTCCTTAACCATTTGCTGCTGTTGGGTTTACCCATCCCTATCCTACCTTGAACCTTGTAATACCAAAAATGTTTAAAAAAGAAAATGATGTAACAAAGACTTGAAAAGTTTTTAATGTGTTGCCTGGTTTAAGGATTCATGAAAATGTTGGGATGGCAACATGACATAATGAAAATAAACTAGATTTAGAATAAAAAGACTGAGTTTGAATCCTGCCTCGGAAAATTGTGTTTATGACACTGGGAAGTTACTGTACATTGATCTCTCTCTGCCTTATTTTCTTCATCTGCAAACTGAGGCCAATGATATGTTGCAGAGGATTACTCTAAGTATTAAGTTAAATAATGTATGTCTGAGTATCCACCAGAGGGTTTGGAACCCTGCAAAAGCTCAATATATTCTAATGTTTTTCCTGCCACTCCTTATGGATAAGAGGTACTCCATAGCCAGTTACAATACTATGTGTATGATAAACATTTAATAAATATGTTTCTGCTATCATTTAAACAACACTTGTGCTGTGCAGAATTTGGTTTTGAATCAGAGTCTACACCATTTTGATGCATGTTAAACATTTATAAGATGACAGCTAACCTTTTGAAAATACTATTTAACTTACATGTTCACAAATTCTACCCAAATAAGTAAAGAGCAGTAAAAGGAATCTTGTCAATGATAAGTAGAGCAGCTTAGTTTGACAAATCAAAGATAAGCTTTACCACCACATCCTCTATCTGAACAGTGTAAGGAAAGAAAACACACTCTCTGCCTCTTGGGAAATTTAATTGTCCTGTTCTTGGCAGGAAACTTACAAGTGTTGTATTTTATTTATAAAACTTTGCATTCCCAAGGGAAGATTTGCAACACATGGCTGGGTCCTCACTCCTTGCATTGCTCTTGCCAGAGTCCTCCCCAGGACTGGCCCTTCTGCGGACATTCCCAGCAGGGCCAGGTCAATCTGAGGAGTCCTTCCGGGGCCACGGCATGACTTATCTATAAGAATTCCCCCTGCGTCCTCCTAATGTGTGAATCTCTACCTACCGGAGTAAGGGAGCCAGCCTCTCATCTAGTTTGGCCCCTAGTCCCAGTCTGCTTATTCCTGGCTCATGTAACAGTAATCAATGTGCATGTCTCCCTCTTTCTCCGTCTCCATCTTCCCGATCCCATGTTTTCCCTTCCTCTCTGTTTCCATCTCCCACCCAGCTTCATGTTTCTTAATCTTTCTGTATTTCTCTCTGTCTCTATACACACACATGCATGTGCACACATGCACATGTACAAACCTCAGTAACATATACTGGAAACTAAAACAGCAAGTATCTTTCAAGATACCCTATGGTGAGTTTAGATTCCCCCCCTGCTTCTGATTTTTACTCACCCAGAACCGTCTCTGAACCCATATAGTCTTCAACCAGGTTCCCAGATGGGGTGGGTAAAACATCATCATCAAAACTGATGAGGTCGATGTCCCCTGGGGGCTTGCTTGGTAGAACTGGAACTGGGGGGCTGGCTGGGGGTCCTTCTCCCAGTGACCTGAATGCTTTGGCTTGTGATGCCACTGAGAGTCGGGGAGGAACAGTGACTGGCTTCAGCAAACCTGCAGGGTAGGTGGGGTTTTCGGAGGAAACAGATTTCTTCGGCAGCAAAGGCCGAGGAGCAGGAGTTGGGGCTTTCTTCCCACCATCAGGGCTCTCAGCCATGGGCCCTCCTCCCAGAATCTCATGAGTAACACTGCGTATAAGGCCAGGATTTGGTTTCTTTGGCAATTCAGGTTTGGTCACTGGGATGCTCCCTGCTTCTTGCGGTGGAGAGTGTGGGGTGAGCCCTTCCCTGGAGGCCACCTTGAGCCTGTTTTCAGTCCAGGAGTCCCATTCTCCAGAAGCTCTGTTAGCAGCTGGTTTGGGAGCCACAGAGGGTTTCCCTGAGGAAACAGCAGGCCTTGGGGGGAGTGTGCGGGGAGCAATTTCTGGTTTCTTGGGTAGTCCCGAGGTTTCTGTATTTGTCTGATCCTCAAATGCTTTGATCTTTGAAACAATACTATTTTGGCTTCGTTCTGTGTTCATGATGTTCATCACTGCCTGACTATCCAAGTCGTTGGTACTGTCGAGCAGAGACTGGGGCCGGCTTGGGGATGACTCCTCTTCTGTGGCCGCAGAGCTGATTTTCTGGTGATTCTGCTTTTTAATGTGAGTATCTCTGGCTACTGGTCTGAGGTTGCTTTTTGATCTTGGTTTTGGCACTGGACATCTTGTAGGACCAGAGTTTTCCAGACAATTCTGTTCTTCAGAAATATCAAAGACTATTAAAGGCGCCACATTTGTCAGATCACTGGCAGAGACCGCTGGGGAAGGCTGGAGAGGTTTGAGAGGGGCCTGTAGTGCTGACAGGACCAAGACAAACAAAAAGAAGTTGCTATGTTATAATTTAAAAGAAAAAATAATAGAAGATACACAGATTTTAAAAATATACATGTACAATACCAAGAGATTTTGGTTTCCTTAATTAGTAAAAAGTAATTTTTTTTACTTTTCCAAAGTAAAAATCTTCCACATTTTTCCCCATTGAACTTCCAAAATCAATGGGGAAATGTTTATACTCAGCTTTCTGCAGGAGTGTTCTTCAAGTTATATTTATTCATATAAGAAATATTCACAATATAATATTTTAAAACCCCATTAAATTCCTGATTCTCAGTAGACTTATCACAGGAACCATTTCTCTCTTGTCAAGATTCTGACATTTCTTGCTTTGCTTTTCCAAAGTTATCCAAATACAATGCTTTTTAAAAGCCTAACAGGACAACCACCTTTAGCATCCTATCAAGTTTAAGTGGCTAAACATAGCATCTTTCTCTATGGGAATAAAGGGCATCAGCAGTAATGCTAACTATGAGTTAAAAGGATGATGTTTTTGTGATATGAACTAGGGTGAGCCCAAGAGATGGGGGCTGCAGCTCATGAGAATGATCTATTATTATAATAACCACAGCAAACACAAATAAAGAAAGTACAGAGTGATCACACTGACTGGGAAGCAGAACTCAATGAATTATGCACAAATTGCAAATTATTTTAAAGGCTAGAAGCCTACTGACGGCTTCCCTAAAACTAAGTCAGAATTACAGAGGACAAATTACTTGCGTTACTTTGAGGCAGGTGGTTGTCTATTTCTTCTGAAAAGTCAGTCTGAGTTGCAGAAGTAATAGTACGCCTTGGAGTTGCAGCAGCATTATTATTATTTGTAGTGTTAACTTGAACTTGGTTGATCTCTTTTATGACTTGTTCATAAGATGGTGGGAGCTGCAAAATAAAGAATGAAGATTTTAGACATCTATGGGCAATAGCCAAGATGTTAACAGTTTCACCGTTCTTATTTTTGAACTTCATTTTACAAATAAAATGCAAAGAGATAAGGTGATATTTATTCACCTCAGCAGGGACCAGCTCATTGGGCGTCCAACGGCGTGCTGCAGAAGATGGGGCAAACCCCAGTCCTGGAGGTGGGGCTCCTGGAAACCACGAGGCTGGCCTCAGCGGCTCAGCTGCCACAATGGTGATCTCCGGGCGCCTAGCAGACAGAAGCCTCAGGGAGGTTTTGCAGGTTGGTAACAAGCTATTGTCTATTTGCGAGTGTTCAAAGATTCATGAAAACAACTATCACCCAAAAAAATTACCTAAGAACTACCATAGTCACGGAAATGACCTATCTGGCCTGGGCTGTCTCTGACAGGATACCTAGGCATACTTCCAGGGAGCAAATGACAGCCATCCTCCACAGCTGTGGCTGAAAATGTTACAGATGTACCCTGAACTTAACTCTGCCGTGGTCGATGAGAATAAGGACTAAGAAAGGCCAGTCTCTTCATTCCAGGGCTCCGCTATCTAGCCAATAGCACAAACATAAATAAATTGGAAGGCAGAAAAGTGGACTGGTCAAACAGAACAGTTTAGTTTTCTGTTATTATAGAGTACATACTCTGAAATGATGCCATGTAAATAGAATATCCTCTTTCCCATCACTCCATTTCCATCCCAATCCAAAGTTATCTTTAAGTGTTTAGAGATTATATGTTCACTTCTGGACCCTGAGGTGTGTGTGTATATTCCCGGTCAGGTCTGTGTATGAATTTGATGATTAATCTTTAATACTGAGGAGACATAGTGATTCAGGCGTGGCTCCTCACATCATTTTCTTAATCTGATTCTTCAGTCTCATGTTTTAATTTTATCTTCAATCTGATTTCTTAACAAACACCAACTGTGTGACCCTGAGCAAATTAATCAACTTCTCTGAGCCTCAGCTTTTTCATCTAACAAATAGGGATGATGATATCTGTTCTACTGTTCTCTAGCACTCCATGGAAAACAAAAACAAAAAAGCACTGCCATTACCAAAACTGAGTCCATACACACATTCTCATGCTAGCTTGTGAAACAGTAGAACCTGCTCTTTGATCAAACAACTGCATTACCGAAGAACCTCTGCTTACAGCTGTGATCTAACTAAATACTAGAGTTACTAGTTAAGAACTGTTAAGCATCATACATGCATTAATCCTTATGATAACCTTATGAGGTAGGTATGATTAACACCATTTTATACAGGGGGATGCAGAAGCTAACAAAGGCTAAGTAGCTTGCCCAAGTTGACACAGTGAGAAGGTAGTGAAGTCAGGATTCGTGTTTGGTTATGTCTGACTCTAAAGTCCTTGTTCTTCATTATTCTATACTACATTGTAAGAAAGGTGAAAGCAGGAACCATGTCTTATAAAATTCCATCCATTTATCCACCTGTCCACACTTCATCCATTCTACCATCTGTCTGTCTGTCTATTGGTCCTTCCTTCTATCTATTCAGTGACTCCCTCCACCCCACCCCCTTCCTTCCCTCTCTCCAACCACCCATCCAGCCATTTATCCATTCAGCTATCTAGCCAGCCTGACTCTTTTCCTTTCTTTATCCTTCCATTCCATTTTCTATCCTGTCATCTATGCATTTAGCTATGCAACATTTACTAAGTAGCTAGGAGGTACAAGCATTTCTTTGAAGCAGTTACAACAATACTGCTTTACATATAGTAATTGCTTAATAAATATTTTTAAAATTGACTTCAGTAAATAATTACTGTCAAAAGAACATTTTCAGGCTTATATTGCTTCTTATCTCAAGCAAAATCTTCATCATTCAAACTTATAGATTAATTCAGGAAATGTACTGATGAGGCAAAATACTGTAACACCTTGCTTATGAAAGAGAAATATTTAACTTACTAACTGATAACACATTTGATTTCATTATCAGCAGAATATATTCCCTCTGTTATAAATATAACCATACCTCCTATCTCGATGAAGCTCACTCTGAATAGAAGTCCGAGAAGCTAGAGAAGAAAGAATAAACTGGTATAGTACAAAAAATAAGTACATTCTACACAGGCTTAAATTTTTATAGGGTACACTATTAGAAAAAGTTAACTTATACTTGACATCACATAGAATGTATGAATTTTAACATCCATAAGTAGAAAAGCAAATCAAAATTATCTTTTTATATGACAGAAAGTTAATTATAGTTATATATTTGAATTGCATTAGAAAATATAGATTTCCAAAACTCCCCAAAACGCATTCCATAGTTCTGAAAATAATGTGAAGAATGAACAGAGAAAAGAAGACAGCTAATAAATATAAATTGCATGGGGAAAGCATCACGACAATGACATGAGATAACAATGACCAGAAAAAATTTACATATCTATTCTAATCCATATGACTATACTTTTGTAATATTTGTTTATAACTACTGCAAAGAGAATGGGAATGGTCAAATGTTCATCTATTTTCTAACTTTTCTGGAATTTTATAACCTTTACTTTGTTTTATTAACTAAATTAAGAGATAATAAATGCAAAAAGTGTTCAAAATACTTTTATAAATATGTTTATAGCACATATTATTGAACAAGAAGCAGTGACTTTTCCCTGAAATCTCAAACTCAAAAAGTTGATGATTTAAATTTTTTCCAAATTTTATTTTAAAATTAAAACAAGTCTTAATCAGACAAGTTGGAAAATGTCACATACAGGATCACGTATTAGACATATGTGTAATAAAGAATATTATCCCTATTTTGAAGGAGCACATTCTAAACATATCTCTAAAAAAAACCTTCAAATATGTACTATACTGTAAGATTCGTGCACCAAAGGGAATTTGTTTCAGATATAAATTATTTCTACCAGTTGCCTTCATACCTCTCCAATACTCTTTTTCAATTCTTCTGATTTGAAAAGGTTGAAGGTATGAATCTTTTCTTTCTTCCTCCTATTAACTTATGACTCTCTCTAAGCAAGGAGGCTGCCAAAGCTGGGGAGGCAGAAGTGGAGGTGAAAGGTAGGGATGAAATTTAGGCTGGGGCTGGAGCTGTGACAGCTGAACCTACGTTGGGTTGGCAAAGCTTTTTTTCAAGAGCTAAACCAAGCTGAGGTGCATTTTGTCTACTGGAATGAAAGAGGACAGAGAGGCTAAAGCTCTGAGTGGCACGCGTCTGATTCGTAAGAATGGCTTCATTAAGTCAGAGGCTCACCGAGTGCTACAATCACATCACCACCATCACTAAAGCCAGAATCAGCAGACAGCACTATTAAAAGACATCGTGTTATTGTCACAAACATACCTCTTCCACGGGGCATTTTTGCTGTGCACTATTCATGAGTGCTAAGGGAAAAAAAGAAGGGGTTATAGAAGAGGAAAGGGAGAAAAAAGAGTGAACCCAGTTGCCTATGCTCTAAATGGAATTCAGGAGAAGACTGCTTTGCCATGCCATTGTTTGTCCCCACTCTGCACACTTCGACAGAAAAGAAAAGTTGATGAACCATAGTTTCAGAAAGTAAAGAAATATGCTGCGGCAAAGATATGTCTGTACAGACCAGGGCATTCATACACATAATCTCAGTAAAAAAAATCTACCCATAGTTTTTAACAACAGTGCAAAAAAATCTAAAAGGCATTTTGCAAAATCAATTTGCTACTTCAATAGGATTCAATTTTAAAGTATGGATATAACACTTAAAGGTAATTCAGTGGTCAATTTACATTCTTTTAAATCAGTGCCTTTTCACTTGATTCCACCTCTTCACACCAGAGGTCACTAGTAACAGGCCCCCCACTGGTGAGCAGAGTAGTATTTCCACTCTGGATGTAGCAGAATGAGGGGAAAGAAGGTCTCCCAATCATACTTACAGACCTCCACATCCTTTGAGAATCACAGCTTTTCCTTCTCCTCCACTGATTTTTTTTTTTTTTTATATTTACTCATCTATGAAATCTCTTTTCTCTCTTGAACCTTACAGAACGACTGGCACTTTTTGTCAGTATTAAATACGTTTAGTAGCTAGAAACACTTTAGATTTTCATATAGTGTCTCACACTCTTCCTGCTAATTTCTCAACTATCTGCTTAATTCATTCTCACTTTCCCAGATTAAACAGATTTGATGTATATGTTGCCGGGAGAAATCAATCAATGCCCACACAGACCAACATGTTCCTTTAAACCCTTGCCACAAGCTACTAGTCCTTTGTGCATTTCGGATTAAGGCCACAGAATAGAGGCAATATTTTCAGTTAAAGTTATGATATGATTTTACAGAATTATTTTCAAACTTTTCTAGTTCATATAGTTAAATTCTAAGTATAAAACAAATTCATATTCAGCTGTTTATAAAAGATTGAGATCTGGACTTGCAATATTAGCACGAATAAAGAATCCTCCTAAATTCCAACAGGATCATAAGCCTGGAAGGACCCTCAGTGATCATCCTACTGCTCACTTTATAGAAGAAGAGACTGAGACACAGAGAGGTTAAATGAATTATCCCAGGTCGCACAGCCCATTACAGGAAGGGCTAGGAGCAGTTTATTCCTTGAAGCAGTTTAACTCCTTGTGGAGCCAGGAGAGCTGGATGCTAGTTCTGACTCTAAATGATTCAAAATTATCAATTAAATCATAGAAGAAATAAACATATAGAAGGATTATTATATTACAAGCATCTTTGCTATAGTACTATCTTACCAATGAAAATCGCAATAATAAAAAATAACTCACTAACTACATTTTCTTGCGCAAGATGTGTTTTACATGGTAACAAGAACATCCATGGAGTGGAAAGCTCAAGGGCCTCAGAGTCAGGAAGTCTAGACTCACAACTCAGATCTACCTTGTGAAGCCATTCAACCTCTCTGAGACTCAGTGTCCTTATTAACATCTGTAAAATGGGGTTAACACCTACCGTGCAGAGCGTTATTTTACAATGCATGTCAACAGTTCCTGACTTACAGGAGGCAGTGAGTATTAGCTAAATCTGAATTTCAGAGAATAACTTTCTCTTAAACAGTTAACGAAAGGAAAAGCATGAAATTCCAGCTATATCCAATTAGAACACTTTTAAGATCTTTACTCAAAATATTTAGGGGTCACAAGAATGAATGTAAAAAAAAAAGGACCTCAAGCCTTTATTGGAACCAGAATCATTATGGAAGAATTTAAAATACAACAAGTTAAGGAATGTTGCTTTAAAAATGTGATAAAGTCTTTCTGCTTGCAGGGGTTAGATGATTGAATCTGGGATAGCAAAACAAACGTTTCAGTGGATTGGGTAAGACAAAAATTGTTTACAAATTTTCTTACAGAATGGGCAAAAAGGGGAAAAAGACAAGGGATGACACAATTATTCTTCATTCAGTATTTAACATGGCATCACATGAGGATGACGTTTAGCCTTCTTGCCTAAACATTAGGAATAAATAGAAGCAACAACTAATTCTTTAGTGTACACAAAGTGACTGACATCTAAGAATTAAAAGACAACTGGCTTAGTTGATTTTTTTTTTAAAGACATCTCAAAGCAAGAGTCTTCCCTTTGTTTCACCTCCTCCTTCCTCTCTCTGCTAGGCCCTGCGTCATCAATTTCTTCTTCTGATCTCCGTCTGATTCCTTCCCCACTGCCTGTAAACGTTTCCAAGCTTCCTCATCCTAAACAGCCTATGAAGATGTTCAGATCTCTTCTCTGTTTGACCCTCCTCCTTTCTCAAGCTACAGCCCTCCCTCTCCTTCTGTTAATCACCAAATTTCATAAAAGAGTGGCCTACCCAGCTGTTCCAACTTCCACATATTCCATTCATTGTTCAAACTGAACTGTGGCTTCCAACTTCAGTGTTCTACTGAAACTGCTCTCTCAAAGGTCACCTCTGAATTCCCGAGTGCCACATACAATGACCTAGTCTCAGCCACCTTTTGCTTGACCTTGCTGCAGCATTAAGAGCTATTTGTGGTTCGCTTATTCTTTTCAAAAACCTCTTCTCCCTCGACCTGTAACACACGGCTGTCTCTCCTAGTTCTATTATTCTCATCATTCTTTTTCAGCCTTTTTGCCCGTTCCTCCTTAGCTGCCTGCGCCTATACTTTGCATAGCACAGAGGCCTCAGGGTGAGCAAGATCCACCCTGGAGGATCTGTGGGGAGTCAGGTACAAGTGATAACCCCCAATAAAGAGGTCCTGAATTCCAAGAGGGAGGAAAGGTAAGAAGCCAGAAAACAAAAGTAGGAGCCAGCAGACAGGACTCAGAGAAAGGAAGCCCTTGTCCTCAGCAGGGCTGTGTGTTTTGGTCACGCATCTTTTGCCCTATGGCACCTTAAAGGCATAGGTGGTCTCAGACAGCAATGTTTCCCAAGATTCTGCCTTTGCCATCTTCTCTATCCTCTATACTTTCTCCCTAAATGTTTAGCTACTCCTAGGGTTTTGCCTAGAACCCTGATTAACCCAAATTACACCTCCAGCAAGAAATTCTTGCCTAAATTCCAGACCCTAATATTCTTTTAAAATTCTCTCCCTACTCCTTCTTCTACCCCAACCTCTATACCCCAAGGTCTTCAAGGCATGTAAAGTTATCATGAATATTTCATTTTTTTTTCAAGGAAGATTAGCTCTGAGCTAACATTGGCCGCCAATCCTCCTCTTTTTGCTGAGGAAGAGTGGCTCTGAGCTAACTTCTGTGCCCATCTTCCTCCATTTTATACGTGGGACGCCTGCCATAGCATGGCTTGATAAGCGGTGCATAGGTCCACACCCGGGATCCAAACTAGCAAACCCCAGGCCGCCAAAGCAGAGCACACTGAACTTAACCACTAGGCCATGGGGGCGGCTCTTGCAGAGCCTTTTATTTTAAAAAAATGTTAAAATCTTGCACCAAGAGCAAGTTTTAAAGCTTTAGACAAGAGGTGAAGTCAGAAAGTATGAATGCCCCATTTTGGAGGGAATTCTATTACAGCACTTCTATCTGGTACGTGGAAGTGTGAGCCAATCTCCACAGGCATTTATACAGTTCAATAAAAATACTGTGGAAGCAAATGAATCAAAAAGGACAGAGTTTGATATTTTTTAAACCCATCAGATGTCTCCACATATAGAAAATGGTTACATAAAATTTATATTAGATCATAGAAATTCACTAGGTAATCCATTTTTTTTTAACAGCTTAGTTCTGTAAGAGAAAAATATTGTTCTGAGGAACTGATTTAACAATAAACGAAAGTTGAAAAGAAAGCTGAAAAACTAGTTGCTTGTCTGAAATGGTTTATTACTATACCTTAGGAGAAACCACTCTTGTTGGATCCTTTGTAAGATCCATCAAATACAATCATTTGCCGGATATCTAAATCATCATTTTAAATTATTACAGATGAAAATACAGAGCAGGAAAAAACAAACTTACTTCTCTTGATTACTGCTCTAATGGATGACAAGGGTCCTTGGCTAGAAAAAGAAGGAAAGAAAACTGATTACACATTCATTAATCCTTTTGAAGAAGAATCATTCATAATGCCAGGTCATTTCTGGGACACAACATGGCACCAAACAGCAAATTTGATACATTAGTTACTGGCTATCCTCTTTACAAAACACAAATTAAAAACTTTTCAAAATTGCCTTTGATATTTGAAATATATGGGAAGTGAGGAGACTGGTGAAGTATGTCTGCAGTGTAAATAAAATTTTGCCTTAAAATTGTTTTCATAGCTATCTACATACTTTGTCTTCCAGTAAAATTACAGACACTGCTTGAAGTCAGCCAACAATTACATGGTGCTCAAAAGAATTTTGGCCCCCTATATCTCTTTTGTGTTTGACATTGGAATTCCTGTCTTCTCCTATCAGATCAAAATAGATCATTTTTATAGTCAATTTGACCTAAGGAGCAATAGCATTTCTTCCTAAGATTAGAATTAAAAACATCACCACCTAAATATAAAAGTCTCTGCTTGCTTTGAGTTTTACTCAATAGTTGGTTGGTCCTGGCTGCCTGTGACTATGTGATTTTTGGGCAAATCATAGAACCTTTCTGACCTTTTGTTTACTCATTGGTCAAAACCTTCTAGCTGCAAAGCTTCACGCTACTAGTTTGTGAGTTTGTTTTTCATCTTTATTCAAACCAGCTGGACTAATTGTTTTTGAAATAATTTATAAAAAATATACAACCTTGAAAGTTTAATTATATGATTTAGGAAAAAACCTCTTATTTGTAAAATTCTTCACTTTTTTCAGAATGCTCTTAAAATTTATTCTTATTTTTGAATGTATGCTCTTTTTAAATTTATGCTTGTGGCAATCTGCGTAAATCCCCTTGCTGTTTGTTTCCTAGCTAGGATAAACTTCAGGAAGATGCAATAACATCAGTTCATTCTACTGGAGGGATACTTTAAGAATAGACTATTTTGCCAGACAAGAAAAAACAATTCAGCTCCAGGAGGTCTCCAATATCATGAGGCTAGGACTGCAACATAAAAACATAAGTGTTTTCAGCAGTACTGATTTTTTAAAAAAGTTCTTAAAGGCTTTCTGTAAACAACTACTTGGGGAAAAAGTCAGTCTAAGGTAATAGAGAAGAGGTAGAGGCACTAAAACACAAACAGGTTGACTGAAGGTTGTAGGAAAAACGTCTTGGTGCAAAAGTGGAGAGAATCTGCGTGTTACTATTGTCTCTGTGGACTCAGGTACAATAATTAAAAGAGTCAGAATCAGCACTTAGAAGCAGGGCCAAAACAGCCAAAGTTCCATGTGTGTGCCCAGGCAGGCCATAGGGGATGTTACTGTGCGTCTTCATCATAATCTCCTTGCTCCTCATCTCTGATTTGGTGGGACGTTATTATTATTTAAAAACACTCTGTTACCTTTGTGAAGGAGGAAGATGTACTGACTGAGGTGGAACACAGCGGGTATTTGGGAGGAACTGTTCCCCCTTCGAAAATGATATGTTGAAGTCCTAACCCCCAGTACCCCAGAATGTGACCTTATTTGGAAATAGGATCATTACAGACGTAATTTGTTAAGATGAGGTCATACTGGAGTAGGGCGGGCCCCTAATCCAATATAACTGGTGTCCTTAGAAGAAGACCACATGAAGACAGAGACAGACAGGAAAGTGCCATGTGACGAAGGCAGAGACTACAGTGAGGTAGCCACACGCCAAGGAAGGCCAAAGGCTGCTGGCAAACTACCAGAAGCTAGGAAGAGACAAGAAGGATTCCCCTATAGATTTCACAGGAAGTGTGGCCCTGATGACACCTTGATTTCAGACTTCAGGCCTCCAAAGCTGTGAGACAATACATTTCTATTGTTTGAAGTTACTCAGTTTGTGGTACTTTGTTATGGTAGCCCTAGGAAACGAATACGGGGGTGTTCTGGGGTGCTAAGTAGATGTGATCATTCACCGAGCCGTATACTTTGTGCACTTTTCTGTACGTTATACTTCAGAAGAAAAGTTGGCGGGGGAGGAGAATGTGGCACAAAATAGAATTTTGACTTAAGTCAGCCCTGGTTCTACCATTCTCAAGATTTGCAGCATCATATTTAGGCTAGATCTATAAACCAACCATCAATATCTTATGTCTAAGACAGCACTTTCCAAACTCAAAAGTTTAAAGTTCTCCTTTAGAGGTTAACAGGTTTTGTGGTAGGGAAAATAAAAAACAAGGCTTGTGGTCAAATACATCCCCAGGGGAAGCAGTTTTGGGAGATGTTGGAGTAGTGTCCTGGCTATGCAGTGCATCCAATTTCTGTATCTCAAATGTACATATGGATGCAAAAACTGTGCTTTTGAAGATGACCCTTTATCTCTGTCTTTCTGCGAGCAAAGGCTACAGGTGAAGGTATCACTCTATAGTCTTAAGAGAAAGCCTCATGGGGGTCCTCCCATGAGGACCTCCAAGGAAGGATGGCCACCACGGGACAGCAGATATGGCCACATGACCACTGATTAGAGGAGGAGACAGGAGAGCCCACTGGTTCAGAGAGCTGGTTCTGAAGTGCAACTGCCCACATTCACTCCTGGTGCCTCCACTTACTAACTGGTGTGACTTTTGAACAAATTACTCAGCTTCTCTAAGGCCTTTCACTTCCTCACGAATAAAAGCAGGGACAGGGACTGGCCCCGTGGCGTAGTGGTTAAGTTCGTGTGCTCCACTTCGGCAGCCCAGGGTTCACAGGTTTGGATCCTGGGTGTGGACCTAGCACTGCTCGTCAAGACACTGTGGCAACATCCTACATAAAACAGAGCAAGACTGACACAGATGTTAGCTCAGTGACAATCTTCTTCAAGCAAAAAGAGGAAGATTGGCAACAGATGTTAGCTCAGGGCCAATCTTCCTCACACACACACACTAAAAAGCAGGGAGAACTCAACTCCCTCATGAGGTTATTGTGAAGAGTAAGAGGGAGAATACATTAAAGCATTTTACACAACACCTGGAACAAAGCGTGTGCTCAATAAATGTGAGCTGCTATTATCTTTATTCATGTTTGTTCATAACCCTTAGGGGCATCACAAACATCTGACAACACGTACAATCCTTGACAGGTTCTCACTTTGGGATCTGATATCATACAGATGGTAGTTCTAACAGGTTATGTTGTTAGAAGATTTTTCTCTTTGAGATTTACTTTGCTCTCCTCTGGTTTCTGTTGTCTGGACAGAACCTGAGCCAAGGCTACTCCCCGACAAAACAAAGGACAACAAAGCAGCATCCTCATTCCTTTCTAAGCCCATCAGCCTATGTCCTGGTCCTTGGCAGTTAACCCAGATCATCTGCCCTCCATTCTTCAAGCACCACGGCCCCTTTTTTTGGTAGGGCAGATAAAACCACTCGTGATGGGTGACAGCCAAAGACGCTTCCAGCAGGGAAACGAACGGTTAGGAAAACTGGCTTGCAGATCCTGGGGAGAACCAAAAGTTGAGGCCAAGATAGAATCGTCTCAGGTCTAATTGCCAGATGACTTAGCTTCCTCCAGCACTCTTGGGGGCTCCCTAGTTGTTCAGAGTCCCCTTCTATCCTTTCTTCCCACTCTCTTAAAATAAGCCTTTCTCAGGTTGTGCTGTAGGGCCACTCTTTACCACTGTGTTTGCATATAACCTTAGTTAGCTGTAAAGAAAGTGTTTTTAATACAGAAAATTACATTTTAAAAGTTTCTTAACCTAATGAAGTGAATTTCTAATGATGAGATTTCAGTGATGAAGATGATGATAGCAGCTTATTATTATGTGTGCCGAACACATGATCCATTTTACAAATGAAATGAAGCTTCGAGGTTCGGTATTGTGTTTGCAGTCACACAGCTGGTAAGTGGCAGAGCCAGATGTGAATTCACTACTGTCTGACTATAGTCCAGAAGTCTATAATTCAGGCTTGAGTGGATGGGTAAAAGTTTCTGGATGTTCCACAAAGTTCAATAGGTACACAAGTACCCCCAAGCATAAAGCTGATCCACAAAATTTCACATTGTAATCTCATCTAGACTCTGCAGATGCAGGAGAAAACAAAATATAAGTTGCTAGGTATGACATTTTAATGTTGTCAAAAACAACAATAAAGCAAACCACCATGGTCATTCTTAATCTCACTTAAGAAAATCCAACCTTTCTTTATATTTTGGATCATGTTCTATTTTTCATTAAAAAAACCGATTCTAAAAAATATGTACAACTTTCAAAGCAACGACTCATTTCCAAGTTTAAATTCATTCCCCCTGCCCCCTCTCTTTGGTGAGGAAAAAACTGTTTTCATAAGCCAGTAAGTGAAGTTGCTGGAATTGGCTCGTTTGGTACACAAATCAGAACAATGCGTGCCAGTGCCCATCATCATCACATCTGGTTTTGGAGCTCCTTCCATGTGCAGAAGCAACTGAGTATATTTTTAAAAATGTATTCTTTGTAAAAACCCTCAATAAAGGCCATGGGCATATCATTAAAGCACCAGTCAGTAGGGGCCGGCCCTTTGGCCGAGTGGTTAAGTTTGCATGCTCCGCTTCGGCGGCCCCAGGTTTCGCCAGTTCGGATCCTGGGTGCGGACATGGCACTGCTCGTCAGGTCATGCTGAGGCGGCATCCCACATGCCACAACTAGAAATACACAACCATGTACCAGGGGACTTTGGGGAGGAAAAGGAAAAATTTTAAAAAATCTTTAAAAAATAAAAGTACCAGTCAGTAAAGCCATTAGCTTAACAAGGAGTTAAGCTAATGTGATCTAGAGATGCAGCCCTCTGATCAAGCTGATAAACCTGCCAGTGAATATAAAGTTTACCTCCTTGTACCATCTTCTCCAAAGACTGTCAACATTTGGATTGATTCATCTCTATTTCCTAGCAGAAAGGTTTAACCAGATAGGTGTGATTTTTGCAGGCTGGAAGAGGTATTCTGTCTCACTCATTCTCTCACATACCCAATGCTTATTACATGTATAATATGTGCCAGGTACCAGG